GTGCCGGTACATTCTTCCAAATGCTACATTACTGCGCCAGCCCGTATGCCAGGTCTCGCGTTCGATTAAAGTTCGTGTATTTGTCGCGCCACTGTGGGTTAACGAGGCATCTCACTCAACAAGCGAATTTTTTCCAATTGTTTCTCCAGGTGCGGATTAGCTACACTGTTAAATCTATAGTGCCGAACTGAAACTTATTTAAGTCGCCACTGCTCCTACTTAATAAATAGCTTATTTTTTTTATTAAAACAATGGAGTTAAGTAATTTAAAACAGGATATGTTAAGGAATTTAACCCAAATCTGGGTTAAATTCCATTGTTTTCTTTAAAAAGAACTATTTATTAAGGAGGAGCAGTGGCGACTTAAATAAGATTCAATTTGACACTATAGATTTAACAGTGTACCAATACCGCGTCCCGCGTCATATTTTGTTCATTGACTAACTTGGCGTTAATGGATTATTGCCAGTCAAAATGTCGAGGAGATTTACTGCGTGCCATAAGTTCCAATTTTTAATATCAAACACGTATTTCTATTATTCTAACCGTATAATCTAATCGTCAAATCTGCTAAAGTATAAAATCTCTGTTTGAAGTTACAGTGAGAGATAAAGTTTTTACTTATATCTCTTTGTATTTCTTTGGATTTCCCTTGTTTCCGGTCACTATTCTTTATTATAAGGCTTGGGAAGTTAAAAGTAAACTCAAATCGCAGAGCTTTTGTAAGAAGCGTCCTTAATGCCGATTATATTCATTAATTATTTTATTCCGTTTACTTAATAAAGAAAGTATGTATGAGAGATTTTTTTTTTCTTTGTACGTTCTATTGTTACGCCCCGGTGACATTTAAAATAGTACTCGACTAAATTTTTAATTAAAAAGCACCACTTAATTATCATTGACGTCATGCAAGCCTATGCCGGCGCATTCTTTTTTCTCTCAAGTAAGTCATTTACGCAAATATGCATCTTTTCATGTGGTGCGCTTTATTATTCTCTCGTTTCCTTTTACGTCGCAGCAGAACAACGTGTGTTCTCTTACAAGGAGAAAAAAAATTTGTTTTTCTGCGTAGGTTTGCAACGTCAAAATGTATCACATGTTAAAGAACGACGATTTTTTACCCGCGTTTCTTTATCCGCGTTACGGTTCTTTGCAGTATCGTACCCGCGTGATATATATAATGAATCATCTGAGACTGTGATGTCAAGCGACAAAGTAGCGATTTTTCGAAACTGCAGCCCCATTACTAAAAATTATTTCGTATCGATCTGTTCGTCTATTTCTATTAGACTAGCTTTAATCGCGATAGTAATAATTTCCCTCTTACAAGGATTTTCTTGAGAGCTGCTTCTACGCTTCTTTCGAATAAGTCGTATTTTAACGTTTCGACTTCGATCTTTCGACAGGACAAATAACGAAAAGAGGAAAAAGATCTGTACTTTATGTCGACGGGGCGGAGGGGGGAAAACAATTATTTTACGAGTCACCGATTTACTTTCGACGCGCGACAATCGAATCTCGCAATTGTCGAGAAGCTGTATTCAGATTGTCGCGTCGAGGGCACGGGGATAGTCCTTGTACTGTCTGTTCCAGGAGAGAACGGGAAAATGGGGAAAAATAAATTGCGCCGAGACTGTTTCGATAAGCGGTCGATGCCGCGAAAATGAAAAGACCGAGCAGCTCGCTCGTTATTTATTGCCCATCGTGATTCGGACCGGTCTATATGAAATGGTTTTTGGGGACGAGGCCGAGCTTCGACCTATATCAGGCGCGATTGCATTAAACCGTGCACGTCGAATATATCTCTTGGTTTCACAGGCTGTACGAGCAATTTTCGGCTTGGTCGAGATCGTTGTATCGTAGATTATTAATCCTAAACCTGTCAATTGCTATTCTATAAGAAATGTCTCTGTTCCTCGGTATCCGGACACTTATTTCTTGTTCAAATCCTTTTGCTTTGAAATATAAAAAAATCTGTCGAAGATATTTAGTTTATATATTGTAATAAAAGTAATATAAAACATTGATCAAGTTCGAAAGATTTGTAGGCAGATTTTGGTTAATTTTGATGGGAATTGACTTTTCTTTAGCGAATAATTTTCGAAATATTGATGGTTCTTCGAAAGACGAAAATTTTATTAAAATAAATGATAAAACTTCGGAAACACAAAAATAAGTAATAAACGTTTTATTTTTTATAACTTTAAATGCAGGCCATATTTTTACAAAATTATTATAAAATCTTTAAACTTAATTACTTAAATTATCTAATGTCAATAATCAAATAGAAAAAGATATACTAATCAATCAAGTTTACCCAAAGGAAATATCGACTTGTCAATACATCGGATACATCGATAAAGCTTGGCGACTTACTTTAACATCGATATCTATCTATCTATCTGTCTACTTTTTTGCCTGTCTCCTCACGATGACGTAAATGACCTAAATCGATAAAGCGCACCACTGTATTACGATGTTCGTAGCAAATGCATTTCTTCGCACCCACGTCTTTTTTTCCTCTCTCCCCTTTTCCTCTACTATCGTAATCCGGGATTTGCTGGCTGGTAGTGGCGCGTTTTGTTGCACTAACACCTTACGGCTTGGTAATTAGGTCGTTCGCTTCCGCTGCGCGTGTGCATGCTCATTTCGCGCGATAAGCTCGCTGTAAGTTCACCGCGAGCGTGATGGACTAATTATCGGTTAAGCGTCTGGGAAGTGACGTTCCCTCGCGTTAAGTTCTCAGCCCGACGGCGTTCTCCCCTTTCCCACCCCCTCCCCGATTCGCGTTATTGCAATCACGAGGGTTGTCGCGCGATCGAATGAATCGAACGTGACGAAAAGTGGTGGCCTTACGTCGCGTAAGACGGGGGAAACCTCGCGAAATTAGTCTGTCAGCGCGGTTAAGAGAGGACGATCGAGAGGGCGATCCTTGGCTCGCGGGGAAATTAAATAAGAAGGACATCGATCGCAACCGAGTTCCAATACCGCCGTTATTCCGGTGCGGCTTCTCCCTCGAGGGTTCGCTTTCTCTATCAACGACACGGCTCTTCGCCACGCGCCACTCGGTCTCTTCCCTTTCATCGTTATTGCGGTGACACACGCGAGATGGAAATCCCAAGAACGGGTACATATATATATATATATATATATATATATATATATATTGAGTCTTATATTTATTTACATTTCCTGACGCGCTACACTCGCTCTTATTTCGCCGTATCGCCGTGGGATCGATTCCAACGATCGAAAAATTGTCTCTTCAAAGTGAGGAACGTGAGAAGAATTCCTATGTATTTGTTTTCGTATTTTAATAACGTCGCGGCAATACGATCGGAATTTAGTTTCTCAAGCGCGTGCGGGAAGAATTAAATTTTATCCCGCTGTTACTTTTTTCTCCCCCGGGCAAATCGAATTTCGCGAGAAAACGCTACGACAATGCACCGCGAGTATCCGTTCAATAAGACAGAGTCCTGTGGGTGTGGGTGTGGTGCGTACAGTTTAATCGTGAACTTCGACTTTTAACGAGACTCGAGTGTAAATCTCTAACATCAAGGATCGATTATAACAAAACCGACAAAGACACCTGCATCTGACACAGAGGGATGTTGATTAAAGCCGGAAGGTCTCCTTTGACGAGGAAGTTTCGAATTTAATCCCTATCCCTTACGAGTGATCGAAGAGCGCTTTTCCGCGCGTCAGTGAGGTGACATTTTGATCCCAATTGCAAAATGGCTAAGTGACTTTTTCTCGGGCAAAAAGAAGAGAAATTCACTTCGTTTTAATTACCATTCTTTCTTATGGGTATCGTATAATTTCTAATAATATCGCTTTAACAATGAATAGTTCATAAAGATAGTATGGCAAAATATTTGAAAAATATTACAAATTGATGCACATTTGAAATTGTGATACCTACAATTTTATTTACTAAGGGATGCTAAAACACACATTTTTTACTAAGTGGTGAAATTGGAGAAAAATATTTCTTTTATTACGAATGCTCGACTATCCTCTTTTTCATGCAAGAATATATAACAAAAAAGAAAGAGAGAAACAGAGGAAAATACAAGATTGATGAACGCGTGAGATTTTGTATCTGTTATTTTAACAGAGATCCGTTGGGTGTTTCGTTTTTACCGTACCAGGATTAAAACGAACGTTTTAATCCCGAGACGAGAAAGGACGCCTTTTCCTGATGATTCATTAATCATTTCCCGGTCGATGCGCGGTATCGTCTTATACTGCCACAAACAGCGACTGTTAAATCACACTATACACGCGCGCCCGGGAACGTACATGCAATACATACGTTTGCGGGACGTCAGAACGCGCGGAGAGCGCGCGGGATACCTAAGCCGGAAGAGGCGGAGGAAATCTCTCGCCGACGAAATCTCAGGCTTTCGGCGTTCCCGGGCGCATCGCGTACGTGCCTGCGCGTGCCCCTTACCACTCGCACTCGGATATTCCGGTGCAATTACCGCGCTATTTGGCGGATTAAAGCGCCCCTTTCTCTACCCACGACCTATACACACGATGAGAGACTTCGCCCAATACAACGTGCGTGCATGTGTACACAGGTTCTAGGCTGTTTCATCGTCACAAACAGCGCGAATTACGTCTCGGGAAATATCATCAATAAACCTCTCGATTGCCTGCTTACGCAATGTTACGCGCATTAGCTGCGGTATCGCGAGCACATGCAACTGCCTCGTTAAATCGATATCTCAAATCTCGAAACCTCTCCGCAAATTCCTTAAGAAGCGGGAGACAAACATCCTCCGCGAAGAGGCGTGAATATGTCGGTATCGCGATTCGCGTCGTTTGACTCCGACATTCGTATTCTCGCAAGAAGTTGCATTTACATATTTTTCTGTATATAATTACTCAACATGTAGAGTGACTCAGAAACTTTTTTAATAACCAGACACTTTCGAACTTCGTAGAGTTTCCCTTCTCTCTTCGAATATTTATGTGCTATAATTGCCTTATTGCAGATAGCGAAGCTGTTCTCCTACACGTGGACCATGGGTATCTTCCTGTGCAAAGCGGTGCATTACATGCAGAGCGTGTCGGCTATCTGCTCGGTCGTCACCCTCACTGCGATGTCGATCGAAAGGTGAGATTATCCTTGCTGTACTATTCCTAGCTGCTGTCGATCGATTTGTGCGTCGCGGCTATTACCGATCGTATGCAAACCGCAAACGGATCAGTCGAGTATCAATTGTATTAGAAAAGGATTCGCGAACGCGTTTGATAGTCAATGAGAACAATGCCGTGCTACAATTTGCGTAAATAATCATAGGTAGCATAATCAGAGCATCGCATAAATTGACTGGGTTTACGTCGAGCATTGTTCTAAAATTGGATATGTAATTGCATATGATAAAACCGCAACAGTGCAATTATAACAGTCTTATTAAGCTTAATAATATTATTACATATCTTATTCAAAGAAAATGCTGAAAACAGTGGAGTTTAAACCATTTTAATAGGAAACTTTTTTTATACGACGAAGTAATTTTTATTAAATATTGCTCTTTTAAAAATGCTTTATTAAATAATACATCAAGCAAATAATTCTTGTAATAATTTATTTCGTTTTAATTTTTACATTTTGTTTATTGAAAGTTCGTAAAATAACACGGCACGTTATATAATTTGACGTAATTTATGGAAGAAGACAGGTAACTGCGACAAAATGAATATGCAATCTGGTTTTAAATAACAAATGGAATACATGTAGATCGTAGCGAGCAGTGTAGATAGCAGAAATTTTCAACATCAATGTGCGATCAAATAAATTGTCATGAAAATGCGAGAAATTTACTTTGTAATACAATGTCATGTGGTTCTGTTATCAAAGCATGAAAAAATAGGTAGAAAAATTTTGCAACTTTCGAATAAAATCCTTTTATTGCAAGAGCAGCTTATATCGTGTTTCACGTTAATTTTTAGATCATATAATTTCAAGGTATAATACTGAATAACACAGATACGATTTCAAACATTTAATTGGTACATCCAGTTTCGACTTATTGTTAGTGCGATACTATTGCGTGACATATATCATGTTATACACAGATATGTGTGATAACTAGTTTAATATTATCGAATTTCTCTCTCTCTTTTTTTTAATTATACATGATATCAGATCGTATATCCTATCAAAAAAGACTCAGAGACATCGATAGTATTTTAGAGCATCAGAATATATCAGGATCTGATACATTAAACGTTAAAAACGCATAAAAATACGTATGAAAAAAGATTTAATTACTTTGAATAATTCTATATTAATATTCAATGTTATAGCAAATTCTGCAATAATACTGTCTGAATATAGACGTTGTAGAAGACCGCCGGAAGGAACCGTGTACTTCCGGTCGCGAGCGGGCGCCCTTCTTTTATTTCGCTCAGAAGACGTATTCATTTCACGTAACGATCTTTATGCTCTTCTTCTTTCCTTTCTCCTCTCCTCTCCTCTCCTCTCACTCTTATTCTCTTTCTCTCTTTCGCGATTGAATGACGACAATTACGTGAAACACTTTGAAATTGAATATCCATCGTTAATCCGAGAACTTTGCACCGCCCACGGAGCAACTCACGGGCTATCACCGGTTTGATGTCTGCCCCCTTTTGGCCCCGCGTTATCCTCGTGAAGTCGAGAGGAGGCGATAAAAGGGATTTTTCACGTTTTTCGCGTGCCGTCTCTCGGGTTCCGACGCGACGTTGTCGTCTTTCGCGGGGGTTAAATGAGATTATACCCGTGACGTCCCGACGATCGAGGTGCCTGTCGGATGTACGCGGTAAGATTAATTATGCAAACTGGCAAAACGTCTGGCACGGTTGTTGCATTTCCGTGAAAGAATCACGGGACGAGTGTAGCAATTACGGCAGGCGCCACGGGTGCCCGGCTACTTGGCGCTAATCCAAGGATGACTATCTCGCGGCTCCTGCGAAAGAAAAGGTCTCGAGTAATGGTTTTTTCCCTTTTTCGGGCGTATTTGGGTCATTCTTATAAAAACAGATTTAATGATCTGATTATAATTGGTTTATATATATATATATATATATATATATATATATATATAAGAAAAACGTCTTGCTTGAGCTTTCAAGTGGAAAAATTGAGTTACAAAACCATTTTATTCTCCTTTTCATTGTTCTCTCATCAGATTTCCTTTTCTCCCTTTCGGGAAGATTCGCGGCGATGTTAATGAGATTTCACTTACAATTAGAGGAACTGAAGCACTCTATATAATTTTAGTTCCTTAATACAAAGATTGATCCTTACTACTGGTATTTAGAAAGTAATGAGTTGGAGCGAGCGGATTAACGTAATATCATCGCTTGTCTCGCGCAATTCTTTCTCTGTAGTGAAAAGCTTTCGAGATAGTGGGTTAAGAACTGGCGTTGTGCGTAGTAAAACACGCGAGGATTCGCCGTGTTCAGCCTTTTTTTTCCGAGGGATGGGGAGGGGGGAAGCAGAGTGTGCAGTAATTAAGGCGACTCTGCGAAATGAAACAGTAAGTTTCCACGGTATGAGAATCCGATTCAACCCAGTTTCGTCATGAGTTTCGAGGCTCATAAATCTGCTGGCAGACGGAGAGACTTCTTTTATTTATAGTGCTCGCTATATCGAGCCAACTTTGCAAACACTTTTCCGTTACGACTTGCTATAAAATTGAAAAACCATTGCTTGTCCTTTCCCCTCCACTTTCTCTCAGCTCCAATAGGCCATGAAAATTTATTTGCGTCAAAAAAGATATTAATCAGGGGATATAGATTCTTGATAATAATTTTCGTGACGTACTTAAATATTTGCAATTAAAATTTTTAATGTACATCATATATATAGAATCTTTTACATGCCACTTCGTAAGCGTCTCAATCGAGGGGTCAACCACTATGAGAATCAGTGTACATTTTTTTAGAAATATATTTCTGGTATTGCGGCAATACAATAACAGCAATACGCTGACAATATATAGCAATACATTAGCAATACTTGGCAATACTGTGCAATAGGTAGCAGTACATGAGGCAATAGATGGCAATATTACTGACAATACGAATGCAACACAATAGCAATACTAGCGATAAAGTGTATTGAATTGCCATAATTGGCAATCACTGTACATTTTTTTTTAGTAGTGGTTGACCCCTCGGTCTCAATGTTCAATAATCAAAACACCGGTTGCTTCTCGTTAAAATTAAACTTAACGTTAAATTTAGAATCACGCGGGTTCTGGGATACCTCGCACCTTTGATCCACTAATTGTAATTTTATTCTTGAAACAATTTTCATTCGACATTTGCTCGTTAGTAATTTAAGTTCGCAGCGCATAAGGAAGCCATCTCGAATAGATCTGTTGAATGTCAAAGTGCAGCAATTAGAACGGGCGCGGTAAGCAGCTTAAAGAAGCTTAGTCTATCATCAGTCTTAGAAGTAGTCTAGTAACGTGGTACAATCAACGATGCGATGGTACATTGTTACAAACGAAGTCAAATACAACGACCGAGAATATGTACAGAGATATTCTGCATCGATCGTACCTTCCTTCGCGTTGATAGTTCACGTAGCGAGCGTTATCCAGACGAGCAAGCGGGCCGTATCTCGATGTGTATAAAGACTATATCTTGCTACACGACGTATAAATTCCATTTAAGTGTTTCGGCGACGTAATAAACATGCTCACAATTTCTTTCCGAGGTCGCAATTACACGAGAAGCGTTTTAGAGCGATTTCACCATAGAGCTCCAGGCGTATACTACCAGTGGCGAGGGGATACAAGGGGAGGGGGGCGGAGGGGGTGATCGCCCCCTCCCCAGAGCTCTCCAAACAAATTTCATGAATTGGAAAAAGTCGGTTTTAAATGAACTGAGAAAACAAATTATCAGAATCACATCATTGGCTACGTTGCGATTGACCAGGCGTTGCGATTGGCCACGTCGCTTTTGATCGGGCGTTGCGATTAACCACGCGCTGCAATTGACCACGTCGCAATTGCTTCTCCAAACAAGTTTTGTATATTGGAAAAAGTCGGTTTTAAATAAATTGAGAAAAAAAATTATCAGAGATTATTTGAGACTAAATAATGTTCACTCAATTTTTTTTAAATAATAAAAAATATTAAAGATAACATTAACGACAATAATAACTAAATATTCATACTTCGTCATACCGCCCCCCCCCCTCCTTCCAAAAAACAACTCTCTGGATCCGCCACTGTATACTACTGTATGTGTATACGTCAAAACTGAAACGTTCTTCGTGTAATCGAAAAGTGGGAGTTATGAAGCGGGAAAGTGCCAAATTTTTGAAGTTTGAGTTATTGCCGTCGAATATATGATACGACGTGTCAAGCTAACATATCGTGCTATGTATTTTGACAAAGATATATGTGCCATGCTGGATATACCAAATGTATTAAAACATCAAGTAGATTGAAGTAATTGAATTTGTGTCATATATATATATATATATATATATATATATGTATAATATTTTTGTAATATATTAGACTTCTATTTTGGATATTTATTCTCTTTGTAATTTCTACTCTTCAACATCGAAAGAAAACTGCTCACACAGAGTCTGTAAATGATCGACATAAATGCCGTTCAAAGATGTTACGAGCATCAGCGAATATATACCGATGTTTCAAAGAGAGAATAATTTCCACTTTGCTATTTTCTCTGCGATGCGAAACGGAGACTTGAAATCCAGAAATCGATGCGGAATCACTCGCGCGACGCTTCAGACGTTTTTAAACGTAAATCCCTTCTCCTGCCCTGAGAAAATCATCGTCGGGACGCGAAAAACGCACGCGAAACGATATTCGCATCGGCGGTAATCTCGCGCGGTCATAAAACGCGAACGGTTTGCGGGGGGACGATAAAAAGTCGAGCGATAGCCTGTCGTTCGTCCCGTTTGACGCGACTCATTCCGTCGACCCTTATCGGCGAGCCGTCTCGATTCGGCGCATCGGTCAGGACAATTTGTATTCATGACGACGATAATACCGCCGCCGAAAACAAGGAGCTGTTCGCTCGCTTTTTCGTCGTCGCGCGAGTAAATAGAGACCCGGGCGGAAACTGCCGCGGCGGGAAACGCGATGGCGTTATTAGTTTGCGGAACAGCGGAGCGCTGCGAAGTGCAGCGTAAATGCCTCGGCCGCTTTTTCGCTCTATATATTACGCGATTTTCTCCTCTATCCGCTTATTATATTTCTATTCTTCCTTTTGCAACAGCTGGAACTCCGAACAAAAAGGCTTTTTTTCCTTCGGCTTTGCCTCCTCTGGCTAACTTTTCGATTCGAGTGTATGTACCTATGTGATTTCATGCGGGCGATTTTCGCAGTGCCCTAGACTAAAACGCAGCTTACAGCAAACAATCTCTGAGCCGAAAATAGCTCTTGTTTTAATAATGTGAATACACATTCTGTGCACATTGACTGTTACGTCCTACTTTTCAATAATCTAGATTTTTTATCGACTTGGAACTTTTTTTAAATATTGAAGAACGTTTATTGTAATTTTCTAATTTAAATTATCTATATTGTGTACTTTTGTTAATCCTGAAAACTAAATTATTCGAAAATTATGAACATTTTGATATTTTTGTTAAGAAAAAGTAAATTCTTAATTGAACAAGGATCACTAACAAAGTAGTTGAAGTTGGAGATTTATACAAAAAAACAGATAATTAAATTTTTTTAATCCTTTATTTAAAAAAAGGAATATTTCAGGAATTAAGGTTTGCTGTACATATATGAACCAAATAATTATTAAAATGTGTATAATTAAAATAATTATGTATATATATTATTAATACATTATTAAGTGTATTTAGAGATTATTTTTAAAGAATTTATTATAATGATTAATTTTACATGAATTGTAAATACCGATTACAGCAATAGACATATTTAATCAATTTAATATCATAATATTTAATTTCATCATTAATTTACTCAAATCTACTTAGGTTTATTCAAATTTTATTGTTTATTGATATAATGATTTCTTACTTGTCTCGATTTTCTTGCGAATGTAAACCAGGCTATTAATCACTAGTATTCTTGTTCATGCTTTCTTCAGTTATTGAATGTTGTATCATTACGTTTGTGTAATGATATTTCTGTAAATGGTCTTTTAAGAATCATATTCCGTAAAATATATTAATAATAAAATATATTGATAATGTAATCATTCAGAATACATGTTGCCTTATGATGTCCTCTATCGAAATATGCAGATAAATAGCTACATTTAATTTTTCCTCGTATTTCTTTTACTGATCGCGAGCATGACGCAACACACAGCGCACCGATCTGTTATGTCAGAGATCCCGGATTCGATTCTCGGTAGAGCCTAAAAATTTCATACACTCCTCTCCGGAAGTCTGGTAAAAAAACCATCGAGAGTATCCTGTATCATTATCTGCCGCGACGAATTGCGCTCTCAAAAACTGCCGTTCTGGATCGGCTTTAAAACTGTAAGTTCCATCTGCTGTATATACAATCAAGGTGCGCACCACAGGCATGAAGAGAGTGGTAGACTTTGGTTCACTGTGAAATGTAATGCCGCAAAAGAAGATTTAATTTATTATGTATGAGTAGTTTCGTGTTTGTTTGCTAACATGATATAAATATTGCACAGCTGTTAGCTGACACGAAAACACCTATACAAAATAAATTAAACCTTTTACCGATGCTTCTTCAGGTCTTCTAATTTAGAGGGAGCATTACAAATATTGCACCATATATAACGCCATTAATCGATATAGATTAGTCCGCAAATATGTAGATAAAAAATATAACTGAAGAAGACAATGAATAATCTTTAAATCTCTCTTAATAACATGTATTAATAATATATACATGTAATTATTTTAATTATATATATTTTAATAATTATTTGGTCATAACTATACATATATTGTACTTTTCCTGTTTGTTTGTAAAATTCTAAATCTTTCAATTAGCAGTTGTTAAATTTATCTGAATTATCTCATTTTATTTCGTAGTCGCTGATTAAAGTGAATATCTGTCATACAAAACGATCGATTTCACTCGGATTCTATATGTTGGTCGCATAATGATTATCTCGGAATAGTCGATTTCGACAAGAGCATTACATCGCCGTGGGCTACGAATGGAAGCGTTGCGGGTTCACTCAATTTTTCACGCCGTTATTTGATCTTCTCTCTAGGCGCGGATTATTATATTTTTGTGCTGCAGGCGGAATATTCGTGAGGTACACTTAAATTAATGTTCACACCGCGTCAAATGTCATTTCGCGAGAAACGTACCCGGTAACTCGAGATAAAGCGCTTTGTACCTATGTTTAGAAATGACATCGTGAAGATCACGATTGAAGATATGAAGCTCTCTCGGAGATACTTCATATTCGCGCGTTTTACGGTGCTTAGTTTATCAACGAAGTTTTAATAAAATTTATGCTTTATTAAACATAATCTTTGACGTCAGTCTGTATCGTGATTTTTATTAAAATACTTCCTTTTATTTTTATATTTGTTTTCGAGAATATAGATTTTTAATAACTTTTAACTGAAAATAATTACTATGTCACTATAGATATAATAAAAAGTTCGTAAATAAAATTCTTCAGGTCTTAATTATTTGTCGAAATAATTCTGTTTCAGGTATTACGCGATAGTACATCCAATGAGAGCGCAGTACATGTGCACCATAAGCCAAGCTCGTAGGATTGTGATCATAACTTGGATCGCCGCATTTCTGCTGGGAATACCAATGATGTTTACACAGGTATGCATGTTCTTAACTTACACTCAACGTTTTCTTACCGAAAATCTTGTACCTAATTTTCCCCATTTTCATTAAACATTTCGATAAGTTCGAAACTATCAAACTACAATCACGTTTCGCGAAAAGCAAAATTCATTTAATATTAACATTAATGAATCGAAATTAATTAAAGTAACAATATGCTGTTTATTTTTATCTGTGATATCTGTTTTGTAAGAGAAATTTAATTTTCCATCATTTATGAGTTTAAATATGTCATCGAAGGATTATCGGGATATGTAATATCGAAATGAGAAAAAGCACAAATAAATCACGTATTTTATCCTCTGTACATATATTTATAACCGATATTTTTGTGTAAATAAAATAACGATGACGATGGCGTATTTAAGAATTATATCACAATACGGCAAAGAAAATTTGATTCCGAACTGAAGAAAAAAATCTCGATTTGCTTTCCACTTTGTTTAAAACAAGCTTGCATTCAAGGAAGATTTGTAAATAAAGTAACAAGTTGTTCCAGATCTGAAACACATTTTGCGTTTCTTTATTAAAAAACAAAAATCTTCATGCGTTTGTGAAGTAGAAGATTATCCCAAACATATCTACATCGAACGGAATACCGCCTGTCTTTGAGCGATTTTACTGAATAATCCTAAATGATGTATCTGTCTAATTTTGCGCATCGCGCCACTAGTCATTTTGTTCCGCGCAGCATGTTACTTTCGCATTATCGTTTATTGTAACATAACACTTCGCAATATTTCGTTCTCGTGTGTGATGATGAGAGATTCACGCGTGTGCGCGATGTGTATCTACGAAATCCGAGAACGATACGCCCCGTAGTTGCGCTGCACGTCCGATAAAGCTGATACACCTCGCTCACTTAACTTTAATGAACGGTGATTTATCTGAGCGTTAAAAAGAGATACGCCGCTAAGCCGAGATAATCGGCCGCGTAGAAGAAAATCGACGTCGGAATCCGACGTGATTGGATTTTCACCTAGCGGAAATTTCTCTCGCAATTTGTGGCACTTTACTAGATAAAAGTTTGATGCATTGCTCTTTGTTATTTGAACGCTCAAGACGTCAGGATCGATAGTGAAAAGACGCTGATCCGTATTTATACACTACATTTGACGTAGTTATATACTATTTAATGTGCTTATTTCATTCCAAATTTTATTTGTCTGAATATAAAGACTCCTGCAATCTCGAGTTGATCCACTCGAATTAGCGTTAAACGTAGAATGCGAACATGACTTGAAATTTCGAACTTCTTTAAATCTATAGCGTAAAATTAATTTTCTTTACAGAAAAATTTTTCATTAATCAAATCGTTTACACTTTCGCTCGAATGATGTTACAGTCTACAAAAGTTCAGATTTTACGGGATGAAGATTATTCTATAGATATTTTCTATAAATATACTTGATATTTTTAATTTTTGTTCAGAAGATTCCATTTTTGCGATGAAAGATTTCCTTTTATGTTGAATATAAGCTGGTTCCATCTTTATACTTTACTTACAATGAAAAATATCGGTCATAAAATATATCTATAGAGGATGAGATATGCGATTTATTTGTAACATGCTTTTTCTTATTCTGATACTGCATATTCCCGATAATCCCTCGATGACGTCGGAGATAAACCGATTGTAATCGTGACGCAAATCGGGACGTAAAATCTATTTTCTACAAGGATGCCACATAATGTTTCTCGAACTGAGATTCACCGAGATTCACTGACAATGAGAGTGAATAAGTCTCTTGTACGAGAGACTCTTACTCTTGTGAGAAAGTAAATGAAGGATTGAAGAAAATGAAACTTTTGCGCAGGTTTGGCGTAAAAGTTATATGAATAAAGAGTTGGCAATAAAAACGCGGTCAAAGAGGAAGTACAGATGTGCTCGAAATGAAAATAGTTCCTTATTTTTCGTGGAGCGTTAGCGAAAATTACAATCACAAAGAGAAATAATAAATAACGCGCTGTGTACGGTATGTTACATTTAAACATATTTTAAAGTTCAAATGCAGCCTCGTCAGTATTTTGAAATAATGAAAATGTTTTAATTTCTCGTGCTCGAAATGTTTATCAAATATTAATAGAGATCCTCCGTTCCACGGTTTTTCCTTAAATCTCTCGTTAAAAGATAATTCGTTTGGAAAGATAACAGATTACATTTTGCCTGAGTTATTGCAAAGGATCAGTAATAATAAGTGTGCTTGAAATTCCTTGCTGAAAACCGTCATCCTTTATTTAGCTTTAAGAATTTGACTTGTCACTATCTGGTATTCTTCCGTAAAAAAGAGACTGTAAATTTCTTACAATTTCTCTTCTACGGCTTAAGTCGCTCGGAAAATATCCCATTACGGTTCTCTCGCGACATGTTGAATGTATAAGATTCTTCCCTCGGTCGTATCCGAAAGAGAATCACGTTGTAAAGGATTAATAAAGCGCGGAGGTGGACGCTGATCCTTTTTACGAGGCCGTCAAGTAAACGGCGAGGGTGCAATAAAAAGCTCTCATATGCCGGCGGGATCTTATCGTCTCGGCATATGTAAATGACTGTCTAACGACTTAATAAACGCGGTGGAAAAGCGAGGCGCAAGTCGCGAGGCTTCGATCTTTCGAGGCACTCCTCATTACATTTCGCGGCACGTCACGAGAAGGGCGCGATCTCTGGGTGTGAATCTAGCAGCACTTTTACTACTAAAAAAAAGGTTCGACTATACGTCATAATTAAACGCTCATTTATTGCTAATTTATTGCTCTATATAGTCACGAATTTAATGCTTCTAATCGAAATCGCGAAAGTTCAAACGAGATTAGAAAAGGCCAAATGCGGTTTGTTAGTCCGGATTCAGTGTGGGCTGTGTTTCAAGACCGACGAATATGCGCGTAGTATGCCTGAATAGGAAATTTGTAAGATTCGCACAAAAATGATATTACCAAGATCCGCTTTAGACCACATTTTGGCCTTTTCTAATCTTGTTTAATGCTTTTACTCAGTCGCAAGAAACAACGCGCCCTTCATGCGCGTGCCTCTTATTCACATTTATTCTAATCCTCTTTTCAGACACACAAGAAGGTCGGGCTGAGGTGGATCGCCTACTGGTGCGTTCGCGATTCCGAGGCCGGACTCCTGTGGCGGGCTCACGAAGTCTACATGCTCGTCGTAGTTCTCGTACTTCCGCTGATCATCATGGCGTTCTGCTATACGAGCATCTGCTGGGAAATCTGGCGCGTTATGAAGCGCCGGTATCACATGACGTCGCGACACGCGTAAGTTTCCAGTTTTTCTTTTTGGCTCGTGAATTGTGAGTCTAACACGCCTTCCTTCTGATCTGTAAAAAGTCAAGTTCAAATGAAAATAAAGTTTTCAAGTCCAAAATCCGCGTCGAAAAAAAAATTTATTGGCACATAATAGAAAAAAACAGAAAAAAATATACGGAAGAAAAACAGATAGTTGATGTTGACTATAAAAATATCAGTTGCCGTAAAATAAAACGATAATGCCTCGGAGAGGTTTCTTTAGGAATTATAGAACTGCGATTTTATGCGTTTGCAGAATTTCTTGGAGAGCGATATTGAAGTGTTTCCAGTTATAATCGATAGCTCATTATAAACAGGAAGTGGAGATAAATTAAATCTCAGTGGCATAGTTAATACCCTTCGCGGAATATTCGCGACGGACGCGCTTATGGCAATTTAAACAAATGAATTTTCCGCTGCTAATTCTACCATGCGCAATAATCGGTGTGAATCCGATTGCGTTAATTTATGTGCGACATCCGCCTACCGTGCGTATCGGACATGGTTAATCCATAAATGGACGTATAAACTGCTATTTGCCTTTTCCGCAGTAACAGCAATCGAAAAACGGCCGTCGTTCCTCCTCGTCTGGCCCGCATTAAATGTCGATTACCTCGTCGCGGACGTCAATCACATGCTGTACGTAGGCGGGCGGGAAAAGGAAAGCGCCCAATTTTTTTTTCCATTAGACGGGCGTTTCGACGCGCGCGCGCGGCCAGCGATCTAATACAAACGGCAATTGCATAGCCGGATTTTCGGACGCTCGCGGTGGGAATTCATATCGAGGTCGGCCCGGCGATAATACGATGAAGAGAAGATCGCGTTTCCATTTATAACGCATTTTGCGCGCGCCCATGGCAATAACGTAATATTGCGAGATCTAATCGAGACTCGTTCGTATAACAGTCGCGAGCAACGCAAGCCGTAAACTTGCCGCGATCGATGGAACTTTCGCAATAAATCTGAAATCTCTAAGAAGAACAATATAGCTAGATGTATAATTAGATAAAGGAATTACAGAACAATTATAAAGAAGTTAGTGAAAATACATAGAGAGAGAGAGACAAGAAATGTATATATCGAGATAAAAAATATGTAACGGATACAAATGGTTTCAAACCAATTTTGGAAAAATAATTGTACAAAATGTAATTAACTTATAATTCTTAATATAAAGCGTCTTAATGCAAAGCGATCGGATTCAACAGTTGAAGTGTCCAAATTCCTCTTTTCGAGTTGGAGATATTATTGCGGAAGAACTTTATTTGAATTCTTATTGTTTGTTATCATTAGTTACATGCGTATGTACACGCCCAGTTGACTCTGACGGGAAGCAAACTTCTCTGGTAATGGACGTGGTCGCGGTCGTTCGTAGTGTTTCTTTGGAAAGTGTGCAGCCCGCAGGCGGGGTTCGCTTGAAATAGATCGAGCGCGATGGGGCAAACGTAATAGCGAATGCATTTGCACTTTACGACTCGACTTGATTCGATTCGCCGTCTCCCGCATCTCGCGAAACATCGTCGTGATAGCGCGCGTTTCCATAGTCAATATATATATATACATTTAAGAATGTCTTCGAGAAATCTTTGAGAAATTCCCGGCTGATATAAGTTCGCGTGCGAAGAACTTATTTTTTGATGAAGAATTTGATGTTGCGTTTAACGAGTTTAAGTCCTTTGTCTGGAAATTTATCCCTTTTGATCACATAATGCTCTGCAAAATGTCTCGGAATGTACTTCCGCCCGCTTCTGAGAACGATTCATTTCGAAGCTCTCACGAGGCGGGCTCTTGAATTTGAAACTGACAAAGTTAGACGCGGATGTAATAAGCGTGCTTTTATTCTGGAAAGAAGGAAGAAAGTTCTCTGCATCTAAGTAGTTAAGAAAGGTTGAATTATTTAGACGGAGAATATTTTTTAACCGCGGAAGCTACGCAACGTGATTTCTTCGGAGAATCGAGGATCGCATAGAGGAGAATACATGAATCTTGTGGTATCTTGTGGTATCGATTGCCACTCTTGGAGTACTATACGTATACAGCAAGTGCCGTTAAATTAACGTTGCACCGATCGCGTGAGAAGATCTTTGCTGCAAAATATTCTCCGGCGCATGGCTTTAATACGTCGGTCAATTCGGAGAAATCTTCCCGAGATAAAATTACTGTCGCGTATGGAAGATCAAAGGAGATTCCGCGGAGTGGAATCATAACGTAGTTAACGCATGCAATATCTTGCCAAGATGAAAATGGGTTTTCGCATGCGCGAAACGCTCGGTAAAAATTCAGTGATCCCTCCCATAGTGATTTCATATCCTTCGCCGTGTGTCTCCGCATATGGAAATAAAATTATTGCGCTATTTACCGTTCAAAATGAAAAAAAAAGACAGACTATAATCGGAAGTTTCTGCTGAAAGGATCATTCGTCGACGAGATCAGTTGCGAGGAAATTAATGTAGTTCTTTTTAATATTGAAGGAGCCAAATCAATATTTTAAAATTTTTAATTAATATTGTATTGAATTTCCTTACTTGTTTGTAGCCTATTTACTTCATTTTTTTTTTCGTCCGTCTTCTGCAGCAGACAGAATTGACGTACAATGAGGTACAGGATCCTCGTGCGTATAATCGCAGAGCGCAAGTTTTAATCTGTTCCAGATTAAATCCAAACAGCGCTGTAGATACGGAATCTATTCCCATGACGCAGCGACAGGGCGGAAATGAACGCAAACGACGGGACGAGAAAGACGAAGAATCACGAACCATGAAGCAGGTCTGATTTAATTAATTTTTTCTTTAGGAACAATAACATTTTAAGGAGTAAACGGCTAAATTTACAAAAAATCATTTTAGAGCTATCCTTAGTAGTTAACGCTCTTGTATGCTTGTTTACAATTAGCTCACTTATGAAGTAACTTTTTGCTATTTTTCTAATAGTTGTGAAACTCCAAATAAATTTTATAAACTTGCATAAATTTTAAAATTATTTTGAAGTAAAATAATTTCAACTTTAGAATAAACGTATTTAATCCAATTAGTAAATGCCTTTAGTGACTATAAATTGTCGATATTAAGCCAGTAAAGTTGAAAATGTATCCCAAGTTTTACTCGGCGGATAAGACCGCCCACGTTGTTCAGTAAACTCAGACCATATCCAGATAAATTGTTCAAGTATATCAGGATGTTCTCGGTATTGCGGTCTTCGTAAGTGTCAGAAAACAGTTGTAACCGGCTCCGAACGGCCGGCCAACAGGTGGTGAAGATGCTGGTGGCGGTCGTGGTGCTGTTCGCCATTTGTTGGGCCCCGATGCTTGTTGACAATGTGCTGACCGCTTACGGCTTCCTGCCGCGCATCAAGGGTGGAATGCACAAGCATCTCAATACCGCGTTCCAGCTGATGGCCTATTTTAACAGGTACGCCCCGGACTCGACTTGGGGATTAAGCGCCGGGGAGTCGTCAATCTAAAACTGACCTCACACCTACGATTTAATCTCGTCTTTTACGTCATCACCGTTGCGAAGGTTATCGCCTCCGGGGAGTCGTTCACGGGCTTGTGTTACAAGTAGAAAAATCAGCTTACGGCCAGCCGCAAGTTTTGTTCCGCCAGACAGAATCTGTACGCGGTTGCATCATAAGCTAATCAGAAAGAGCACGAATATCAAAATCTCGATTTATTTCTTGATTAAAACATTCACATTTAAACTGGCAAAATGTGAATTGTTATGCAATTTGTAGTCACATTAATTTTTATTTCTCGACGCGATATTTTTTTATATATACTTTTACTATATAGTTTTATATTTTGCCTTTTTTGTATTTTAGGTAAAAGTGTGATCTTTAAAAATTAAAAATCTGTAAGAATGGCAAATTGAAAATGATTTTATTTATATTTAAATATCGATTAATATTTTAAAAGCGTAACTGTATTCGTTATTCTATGTGCTCTTTCAAAGCTGCTTTGAAATATTAATAAACGAGAATGAGTGAATATATTAATATATTCAGTAAAAATTTTACGTTTATTAAAAACAACACGAAAAATTGGAAACTACTTCATTGATGTTGAAATTAATCAAATTTATTGTTATGCACAGACAATGTCGTTTATTTCAATTGGCAAATTGATCGTCGAATACAAAGCTGGAAACCTTGGTACATTTTGAGTTATGTATATGCTATTCCATATTTATATAAGTTTTCTTCGACTATTGAATTCGTTTTGTATAGGAATCACATTCCTCGAGGTAAATTTAACTGATATTATTGTAATATTATGTAACGAACAAATATGCGATGCATTCACTGCTCCGGAAACGCGAATATTTTCGCGACATTTTGAGATTGAAGACGTTAATTTGACATCGCGAGAAGAAAACTCAAGTATTTTATTTTGTAAAAAATTGGGATTTCACCTTTTAATTCGATAGATAATTATAATTTGTAGCAACAGCAAAATTTATTCGGTTTGCATGCAAAATTTAATATGTACATATAACACAATGTACACAATGTACGTACGTTAAACGGAAGCAAATTTCGTATGTTTGTTACAAATTATATTGATTTATCGAAAATATTAACCAAATCAAATTTACAATTAATGTGTTTATACACGTTTCATTACGTTTCGAGAATCATGTTGCGTAGGTGTGATGTGTTTTCGCGATTGAAATGCGGATTTTGAAATCATCTCCGTATTAAATTGCGACGATGGCGACGACACGTGCGGCATTATTTTCATCGAACGCGCGTCTCTCTCACTCTTTCTTTTTCTCTCTCTCTCTCCTCGTGTCGCTCGCTTTTTACATTCCGCAATATAGAATGATAACTTTAATAGCCACCTCCGCGAATACGCCGTGTATCATTTTGATAACGACCTCTGATTTGCTTAACAAGTCGTGATGCTGCCGGGCAACAACGTCGGATGCAATAGATAAATTGCATACTATTGAAGTGATTCGGGTCGTTCCGAGAAAATACACTGCTCTCTCTTCGCTCCGTGCAGATTCTCCTATCGCCTTTTAAAAAAACATTATATCACCTTTGCCCTCTTCTCTCAAAAAAGAATTGATATTCCTTACCCGAGAGAGATTCGCTTTTTTTCGAGTAATTCCATTTTATGCTTTTAATTTAATTTAATCTTTAGTTTCATACACACGTGAAATTCTTTCTGCTACCTTTCCGACAACTTCTTTGAGAGAAACTGTTACTTTAATGAATTTAGCGTGAAATTCTTAGCAACGGAAATTTTCCAGGAGATACATCTCCTTTTTTAAAAGGTACATCTAGTAATAAAAGAATAAAAACTCGAAAGTACATATAAACGAATTTAACAGAGAGAGCTTTATTATCTTTTTAACTTTTAACATATCTAAAATTAAATTTACTTTAGTAGATGTTAATTTAGAATTTAATTACCGAAAGAGTTAATACTGTAGAAAATATTTTGTTACATCTAATTAAAATACTTAATTACTTTCAATTAAATCATCGTTAAGGAAAGAACGTATGATTGAAAAAAATGTGATAGATTAATTGAAATGCTCAAATATCGAATTTTAAACAAACACGAACTAGAAGCTTTTTTCTCGTTAAATGTACGAGAATTTTAAATTAAAACGAGATTTTTTCTAAAATACATATAATGTACTTTGCTGCACGTTCAATAAGTATTTTATTTCATCCTACGAACAGCATTTCTATTAAATTTCATTTTTATCGAGATATTTTTTTCTTGTAACAATTCTTTCAACGTCACAGCCAGAAAATTAAATTGTTAATTGATGCATAAATAAAGTATATTAAAATGCAATTAAATTATCAAGAATGATACAGGTTTAATTATTTTTACTTTTCATATAAGATGTACAAATAAAGGAGTAACGATTTTTTACTAATTTATTAATTTTGTATCTTTACATGCATTCTCTTTTACCAAAAATTTTCCGTGAAAAATATCAGCTTTGCATTAAATTATTTTTACATTTAAGGCACTTAAAGCAAGATTTATTCAATAGAGAGAAACATACGCAAAATATTTTCTCTGCTGAAAGGATTCTCTTGTGTAAAACCTGCTTTTACAGAAGTGCCCTATCATTTTCTATTTGGTTATAACTGTTATAAGTTCGGTGAAGTCTATACCTTCTCAAATTTTAAAATAGCTCCTAACTTTTCTTCATCGAACTCCGAGGGAGACCTCCGGTGGCAGAGAGTTTGTCAAGTTTCCTCAATTTCCTAGCTGCCTCCGGCATTGGTTTTATGGCTGTAGACGTCCTCATGTATGCAGCTGTGTGGGACAGTCTGGAAGTCAGTAATAATACCAGCAAGAACGTGTAATAAGTTCAATAGAAGTGGCTAAGCTTCTTAATAGTTACAAACAAATTTTGCTTCTATTTAATGCAAATCTCGAAACGCTGGTCTCTCTCATCCTTAAATCCTGCTTAGCTCTTCCTTCGCCACAAATGTTTAAAGTTTCATGAAAATCCCTGCATTAACCCGGAGAAACATGAATTTCACACACGTGAGATAAAAGTGCCTATTCTTATTTGAATGCAGTATTTCATATATTTCATAATTCTGACGTTACTATCTTCTAATCAATAACTTGTTGCAAATACGCGATATCATCTTCGAGAAAAAACAATTCTAGTATACGGATTTGACAATCGAAACGGAATTAAATCGTGAGTTTATCAGCGTATGATATCATTTGCGGGCGATAATTGTTTTTTTTATAATCTCTTGAGTTTAGATATATTTCATAATTTAATAAAATAAATATAATTTATAATCATTTATCGAACTGAGTTCAAGGTGATTTCGAATAATACACGAATTGTGAGTGATTATTTCGTGCACTGTTTTGAACGACAGAGAGCTATGACGGATCGATCGATTTTTCAATAATACATACTTCTACGGAATTTATGTTTTTGTAAAATTTATTCGTAAATGTCGATATTGAATTTCAATTGTATGTTCGGAGGATTTATTGGATATTTTAATCAGTCATTAACTCGATTATTAATCGCATTGTATCGCGCCGTGTCATCAAGATAAAGCCCTCAGGGGCTCACGTTAGTGAGTACGGGATTGGCAACCCCGAGGAACCCTAGCTACCCAGTGTTTGGGGGTATATCCAGACCACCCTAGTCTCCTGGGGATATAAATAAGGAGACACGCGTTCCCGTGACGTGTTTAATTAGTAAATGTACATCATTATTTCTATAATACGTCGATACAGTGAAATATATTAATGTAATAAAAGAGAGGATATAATATCTTCCAATTGCTATTTCCTCGCGAAATATCCGCCGTGCTTTTTCCTTCTTGTTTTCACGTCGAAAAAGTTGGCAAAAACTTGGTGTCCTGTGAGATAGAACAGGACCGATACGGAATTTGCATACATCTGAAATTTCGATTACAGGAAAATGCGAAATTGCGCCGCGTTTACGCGTTCCGGATTTCAAACCGCGGATTTCATTTCGCGTTCCGATGCAACCGCGCGTGCGCCCATAACCATATATGCGGGTTTTACGAGCGGTTGCGCGGACGCCACGCGCGGTTTACGAACATTTTATCCCGCTCGCCAATTAACGCGACTTCCGCTCCGATCCGCGTCGAACCGCCGATCGCCTCTTCTAATCCAATATCGGCATTGCAGCTGTATAAACCCGATAGTTTACGGGTTTATGTCGAAGCACTTCAGGGAGAACTTCCTGTCGGCCGCCTGCGGCGGATGGTGGATTTGCTGCCCCAGAAGAGGCTACCGGGCGTCAGTAACGAGGAATCCAAGTCTCAGCCAGACCAGGACCACCAGCGTGAGGTACGTCGTGGCACGTTTTATCAGCGCATACCGTGCATTTCGGTGAGGAGAACGGAAAAGCGACCGGAGGGAGTTACGAAATGCGCCCCTATCGATCCTTGGAAATGTGTATCCTGCTGGTTTCTTATTCGCATCATTTCGTAAAATGTAGAGAGCCAGCAATTTTTCTTCGCAGCGTTTTAAACTATATTAGCCGTAAAATTCCCTCAAATAATATATCCCCAAAAAGTCACCCTCCCGCTCTCCTCCTCTAATTTTTCGGCGAATCGCTTATAATTTAGTGCAGCGCAGTAATAACTATTTTCTCGAAAACGCAAGTAAATGCGTTTAATTAAAGCATCAACGTAGAGGTTCTCGAAACATCAGAATTCGCAGAGTGACACTCGAGCGCGTAGTTCACGCAAGTAGTTTATGCAATTTACGATGCAACCGATAAAACGCGTTAATTTGAAAATACACTTTTGCATTTCTATTAAAACGAACTGCGAACTATTAACAGCTTGGCAAATGGCAACAAATGACGCGGGCAGTAAAAATCTTTCAGTGAGAGTAATGAAAGTGCGCGCCAGTTAGAAAAAAGCTTCGCTCGCTATAAACCGGTAGTTTTCATGGTGGTCGAATCGTGAGTGATAAGAATTATGGATTATATACTTTTTTCTACCGCTGTAAATATCATCCGCTGGGATGACAATTTCACGTTGGCTTTTATAGACTCGCGAGAGGGGGATTTATTTTTATATTGAAAAACGTTCGTTTGAATTAACGCGACGTCACAGAGGAGGAAGATAAATTCTCGCAGGGTGTGCACTTGAATCACGGTGTTCTCCGTCGAGGATCACTTCCCGAACAAAACGGCTTTGAACTTGTTCCCCGCGCGATTTTCCCAGCTTGAGAATTTTCAACATTAACAGTAAGCTATAAGATTCTCTCCAGCCAAAGCTCCTCCGTTTCTGCATGCATGATTCAGGTGGATCCGAAACTCCTTCGGGGAGTCAAAGTCCCGAAACTCGAGCGGCCCGCACCCGTGACACGCTCGCAAGTCCCCGGTAAGCGGGCGTGCCCCCTGGCAGCGAGAGACCCCCCGAAAGTCCATGTGCATGTGCGACGAATGTCCGGCTAGGGTAGACGAATGGAAGCACGAATTCGATCGAGGTAAACTGAAACACGGTTTGGCCAACACACGTCGCCGTTTCACCTTCGCACGCTCGCATTCGGCATGGCCACGTATAACTAATACGGTGCTTCATTAATCCGCCGATGCAGACCTAATTCCGTATTCAGTTCCCGCAGCAAATCGAAGGGTTGAATAAAGTTCCTTTCGGCTTCACGGTGACACATGGTGTTATGGGAAGTTTGGAGAAATTCAACGTAGATTAGCTACATTTCATATGTTGCTCCGAGAAAAAGCGTAATGCAATATTCGTAAAGGAGAATCGTCTTGAGAATACGATACTCCGATTAAAACTATAGCTGAATGACAGACGAACGGATATCCAAAAACTTACTTTCTTAAAGTTGCAAGGATAAAAAAAATCACAAGTGAGATTTTAGAGATGAATCTGCTGTTAAGATTCGTTTTTAGTCAAATAAGTATCAATACTTTCAATCTTGAAGAGAGTCGATTCTTGGTGTTTTACTTGAGCAGTTTTCAACAAATATATGCATTAAATAAATTACTTGCTTGCATAACTTCTTGTTTTTTTTTTAAAGTATGTCTTATATTTTTATGTCTTTAAATAATTGCATGTACACTTACTTTGTAACTTATGTGGAGAGATCGTTCTTTGATTACACAGTATGAAACATAACAAAACTGCAGGTAATACATTCGTGAACTTACTCATTTACGCTTCTCAGTGCACAAAGCAATATGATAAAGCATCCAACTCTATGTTCAATTTTATTAACCTCACTCATTTTAGTATCTATTTTATATATTTGTCTCTCACACATTTGCTTTTATTAACGCATGTGGAAAAAAAAGCATCAGCGCAAAATCAGCATTTTTATTTCGCGGTGTCGCCGAATCGAAGAATGATCTATATATTTGTAAATTGCCGAATGACCGCAATTCTCACCAATTTAACGGCGACGACCAAACTGCTCTCGTTATTACATAGTAGCAAAAATAAATCTACAGAAGCAATTTGAATGATGTTCCTCAATCTAGTTTTACGATACAATCTATTGATTATTGCCGCGTTGTGCATGTGCGTGCCCGTAATCTATTTTCAAACGTTTGACACGGGAAATTTTTATGAACGTATTGAAAAAAAAAACAGTTGATTTTCAATTTAAATGAATTGAATCTCAGTTTTTTTATATGTTCGAAAACAATATCTCGGATAGAATAATAAATATCAAGAGATATAACAATTCAAGCGTATCATATACAGAATGTTTTTCGAAAATAACAAGATAAAATAATATTTGTATTTTTCTTCTACGTCATACTGTTTAAATTGTAAGCAGCATTCAATAGATTTAGCGAATTAAATTTATGCAATAATATTTATGCATATTAGGTAATAATCATGCAATAATATCTCATAATTCTACGGAGAAATGTACAGAGATAGAAGAGAGATTCCAAGAAATCGTAGATTCCATTTCGCAAAATCTTTCAGACTTACCTATATTGATGAGAAAGTTTTGCAATACATAGTTTCGTAATCCTGATACCGTCTTGTATCTTGTCGCAAATATTATCACAAATGTTTCGTTGCAAAAATAATGATTCATTGAATTATCACAGACATAATTATTGCAGGATATATGAAAATACATACTGCTTAATTACTTACAGTAATTAAATAGCGTATGTATTTTTATATCGATATAATATATTCATACCAAAATTTTATATATATAATTCAATCTCTCTTTATTCGGGGGGAAATATAAATTTATTTTAAAGTATGTATACCGAAACGGATAATTTAGCGAAATAGATTAAATAAAAAATTATGTAAATTAATAATTTTTTTTAATTAATCAAATCATCATTTCTAATATTTGCAGTTCTCTTCAACATTATACTTTTCAAATTATAAGCAGCATTCAATAGATCTAGCGAAATTTCTTAAATCTCTTAAATTTATAAATAATAATTATATGCTAACATCTCATAATTCTCATAATCTAATTAACAAAAGTTTGTATGCGACTCCTTACTTCTATTCCGCGACTTCTTGCTTCAGTCACTAAAAAATCTTTACTTATCGCAAGGGTTCAGGGGTTGAAAAAGAAGATTGCCTTGGGGGTAGGAGTTAATCTACGAGTCATTTGCTTTTCGAGCACGCTTTGTATTGGGATGACTGCGTCGCTCTCAGTCAGATTTACTTGTCCAAATGTAATCCTCTGCAGAACGTCTATTACACGACTTACCTCCTCAAACTCCGCCAGATAATGAAATTCCATCGCCACGTGTTTCATCCCTTCTCTTTCTCTCTCTCTCTCTCTCTTTTTTCTCATTCGCTCTTTTTCTCTTTATCCGGCCGTCTTTCCGTTTGCTTTTAGATGGACCTGATTCTTCCTTCATCCCCGGACCAGGCCGTCAAGGGAGGTCTCCGTCAGATAGGACACTTCCGACAGTGTGACGTGAATAAAGTCGGGAGAGAACGCGATTACGGGACGCGGCGTAGATGAGATACGGCACACACCGATCATTCGGCCACCTATAATACGAACGGCTGTTTCGAGCAGCCGATCGAACGCAAAAGTAAACTTTCGTGAACTGACTAGTGGGTTGAGACCGATCCCGCTGGGCGATCTCCCATCTGTAGGTAACGTAAGTTGCCGAACAGGCTCATCATCTATTTATCACCTTCCCCCCCGTCGCACCTTGTAACGACAGCGTTATCGCTCACTCGTCCCCCCTCCCCCCTCTCGTGGGCGGGATAATTGGACGGGTTGATTAATTGGACATTCGGACAATTGGAAGTTTAACGGTACAGTTAAAGCCACGCTAGGTGGGCGGATAAGGGTCAAGCGAGTGGGCACCCACAGTGGCCACATACAGTGTAATGGGGCCATAAATACACGCCGTATGAGCTTGAAATCGCCCGATTTAGAAATCCCGCCGATATCTCGTCGAGATAGACGAGCTGAAGTTAGGTGCGCTCGGTGCAGGGCCATTAAAAGGGACGCTCGCTCGAAAAGTTTTCCCCCGGTGTCGATATGTTTAATGTTAAATCTCGAAATGTTGACATACGTGTCTCCCTTTAATTCACAAGAGAACTGCAGTTCCAAGAATAATGTAAGAATGATGTAGGAAGTATGAGAACAAAATACTCGCCCGCCGTTTCGTTCGGCGGCGCTATATATACAGATGCTCTGTCCCGATCTCAAGAGAATTCGTTCTCCTCTCCTCTCCGTGTATAACATTCGCTACCTCAGCAATATACTTGAGACTGGACAGTGCACGTTCAAGTCGCGCTCGAAACGCTATCGATCTGATTCTCTTCCCAGTATTTGCGCTAAATAAGAACGTTTTCGCGTTGAAACCAAAGAAAATGTAGAAACTTACAATGGCTATATTTGTCGGTAAACACACCGCATCGCGGAAGTACGGACCAAAGTGCGCCGATTTCGTAGAGAAGTTCGTTTCGACGAACGCTCCGCAAATGTTTCGGAGATACGGTTCCAAGAAAAGACGCGATAAACAATTAGGCAATTCCTCAGGAAACGACGTTTGCGCCGGGGCGAGTATTTCTCACGGCGAGTTTTCTGCGGTGAGGGATATGTATAATGAAATTAAGCTATACCAGATGTTCAGATGTCACACTTGTGTATTTGTAACTTTCTTGACGTCACAAACAATTAGATCTGAAGCCATGGCGACGACGATTTCTTTGAGTATTCGGGAACGAGTATGGCATATCATTTGAGACTCCGAGCCATGTGCTGGAAACGTAATCTCATTATAATTGTAACTAGATAGTTAGCTTATTTATCAGCTATGCTGGCAGAGCAAACTTTAGATGAGTAATCTCGGTTTGTTACTCAGGAGGATATTGCATTTTCTCTTCTTTTTTTTTCGCGCTCTCACCTTTCTCGATCTAATTAAAATGTTATAAGGCTATGATTCTATCTATTATTATTAATAATATCTATTATTATTGACACAGTAATATTAGTGGTAAAACAATAATGTAATAATACAGGCTAGTGTATTAAAAGACTTTTTAATGTACAACTCTAACTGTAAGCGGGACCCATCCCGGCGGTGAACGCAGGCGGGCTTTCCGATAAGTATAAGTCACTTTGTTTAAAAGAAAAAAACTGGGGAAACCAAGTCGCTATTAAATGTATATAAGATACGTAAATAAGTAAATGAATATTATTTAGCTGCTTTAGAGTTGACGAACGTGACATCACGCGATTTTAGCGATTCTGTGCTTGTCGATGAAGTAAACGTTAAGTGCCATAAGGATGTAAAAGTTTTGAGTCGATATGAAAAAGAAAAGAATGAAAGATATTAAACGCGCGATTAGTCTACGACATTTATAGTATAATGTCGTATGGTATAAAATTAGCATCATTTGCATAGTGTGTACCAGCTTCCGTCGTTCTGTGTGTTTGAATAAAAGAATGAGAATCACAAATAAGTACGTATGTTATAGATAGATATTGGTAAGAAAGCTTTGAAATAATTATATTACATACCAAAGTACAACTTTTGGGCATTGAAATTTTTTCGACATTATTCAAAGGATTCAATTAATATCGCATATAATTTCCATTATACTGTCGTCCTCCTTTCGTTAAACGCATGTAGCAAAGACTCTTTTTCTATCGAATCGTTTTAACAGACTGAATCAACAGCGTAGAGGTAGTTTAATTGTCGGAACCATCGAAGAATAACGGTATTAAATGGCAACTTTAGCTATTAAGATACTTGCTGTATTTGATGTATTATCAGTAACGATAATGATATAATGACCAGTCTACCGACGAACTGTAATGAGATATGTAAAGCCATCCTTTCATCTGCCAAAGATTACAATTAATCGCAAGATTGATATCTATAATTTAACTATTATAACTACATATTTAGTTGCAGGAAAATTCAATTTAAAGCTTAAAAGAAATCAAAGGAGAATAAATTTTACTGCAATATAATTTTATTTTAAAATATATCGCGTAATTTATAATTTTAACATAATAATAAATTTAGTAAAACACAAATAAATGAACAGATGAGTCATTCAGATCTTAAATAATTTTATTATTTGTGTGTAATATACAAGTTTACTCTCTTTAAAAGCTCAATGTTTCCAGTAATAATAATTACGATTCGCAACAGTTTGCTTCACAAATTACGTACTTTAAAAACGAGATTTTATCATATAAGTAAAATTTTTCTTAAGTATAATTTTTCGCAGGATTATCGTCTACTTGTCCCTTTTCGATTTTCTTGCAAATAGATTCTCCAAATGAAGTAGAGAAGAGAGGATGTTTTTAACGTTAAGCGTGAAAGTCTCGGCAATGAAAGGTCGATCTTCGTGTACGTGTGTACGTGTATAGCAATTACATTAATTAAGTCTATACAGCGAAGAGTTATATATTTATATTTTCCACAGGGATAATGCATACGTGTGTATTGTGACGCGCAGGTTAATTTAACTTAAGTAATAGCGAGTATATTAAACTGTACAATCCGATTAGACCACGACGTTGTAAACGGCTTTAAATGTTTAAATGCGTACTAGTCAACCTTCTCCTAGTGCATGATTATACCTTTAGACGACAACGAGTAATGTTAAATAAATGCTGAACAATCGTTCCCATCTCTGTCCCGAATTTATCTAAATTCGAAGATCCCGTCTCTCTCTCATCCCTGTTAAGACCAGATTCAGGATCTGAGATTAAATTCTTACGAAACGTCTACGTCATGTTCCCCGTAACGCACGTAGCTATATCTGCGCACAGCTTCCCGTTACATGCACGTATAGCTGTTAATTATAAATATTTTACAATGTCTCACGTCGAGTTATGCAGACAATGGGAATACCCGACTATGCAATCGAGCACATTGCTCCACATATTCAGCGATTGCGTTTATATATAATTAATTAAGCTGGGATTCATTTATGTGTGGAATTTGTCGCGTGGTAATTCAATCGCATCACGTATTATCTATGACGAACCAATCAAACAGAGTGGAGGGTGGATCGAAGGATTTGCGTTATGATTATTCATGTTTCGTATCGTGTTTGCGCGCATCAGCTTGCCAACTAATTATGCTCTGGTACGCCGAAAAGCCGCCTGATGCCGCAGAGATTTCCGCGGGGGACGAGAGGATTTAATGCCTATACTATAAAATGACACACTCGGCCGTTTGTTACGGAAACACGATGTTCCGGAATAAATGCACACTATAAGTATACAATCCGCGTATAAATTACCGCGCGGGATTCCGTCGTAAAGCAAACGATCGCGTGGAGACGGATGTCAACAACAGTCGACGCAAATGGCCGGGAACCAGTTGTGGCGAAATCGATAATAGATACGTTGAACGGGATGGCGAGCGCGATTTCAGCGAAGAGAGAAGGTGATCGTTACTTGGGGCAACGTGAAAATCTTGCGTGACCTGCTGGGCACATAAAACTGTCTGAAATATGGCACGGCGACCAGACGTGACCAGAGCCGGAAAAAGTAAGTGATGTAAGTTAACTCGCGGGGTGAACGGAGTAGAGCCGCGCAATCCTAATCATACCGTGTTGCAAGAAAGGGAACACATCGGAACGTCCACTCGAGGGAAAACGACGAGAGAAAGGAAGCATGTGAGGGAAGAAGAACGGTTTTCGAATGAGATGTTGGCTTCCATGTAAAGAATACATGATATATGTATGAATATATGTATGAACATATGAGTATAATAAAAATGTATATACGAGTGTAATAGAAATCTTCCACGCTGTAGCGAAGTATAGATATTTATGTATGATTTTGTGTAGAAATACATTAATTGAAAGATAATGGAAATTTAATATTGTTAAAATAATAACATAATAACGTGCATTTTTTTTAGAAATCTGTTAACATAAAATGGCAAAAATAAATATATATTATATATAATTAACTTTTTCAAATTTACTCAATATTTTGAAGTTTGAGTAAACTGTTAGAAACGTTACAAATTGTTTTAATGCGAAATTACAAGAATTAATTATAAACTGTACGAATCATACGAATTTATGAAGTTACAAGATTATTATATTTTTTAATAGATAAATTTATATACCTAATTTTTTTTTAGTTCACAAGTAATCGAGGGATGTCTTTTTACGTGGAAACATTGAAAGGAGTTATAAAAATTTAACGCAACCAATTTATAAGCTGAACTTGTAACGAAGCCGAAGGGTTAATCCGCGTTACGTACTTTGTTACCAAAGATTAATTGCGTTTCCAACCCCGCGTGACGGACTCTGCGCGTGACATTCGATATTTGATGGGGGTGGCCACAAAGTGGCGAAGCAGTCGTGATACCGCAGCCAGAGATTGTTTGCTGGAAAACTCGGCTACATCGCGCGCGTCCCCCGGACGGTGGTCGGAAGTTACTATTGACCTGTCGGACCGGGCACAAAATCTTGCGCGGGCACGGCGTGAAACCCAAGGGATCCGGCCGATGGAAATCAACGCGGACTAAAATTGGACTCGACGTCGATAGGTAACGCGATAATGTATCGAAAATCCATTTCGGGTCAGCAGCATTACTTGGCACGCTTACGTGTCGAGACAAATTACACGTGCTTTTGCATTAATCATTTGTGTCGGCAAGATCGGCGCACTTTATTAAATGAAGTATATATATATATATATATATATTATTATATATATATATATATATATATATATACTCTTTTCATTTCTGAGATGCGTCTTCTCGCAATTATATATTTGCAACATCAACATTTATCTCTTTTACATTTTATCGTGCTCTGATCTCGATGAAGATAAACATCACGAAAACCTATTATCAAGAATAATATAAAGATTCGGAAAAGATTTAGAATATATTAGATTTGTAAAACACGTTAAATGAGAAAGTAGTGAATACTTTCGTTCATTATAATGGAAGTACTGATATTTTCAACTGTTATAAAATAAGAGATCTTGTGCTCCCCGCGAGGAGTTGAGATGTGAAGAGTCGATAAAACACGGATTTAAACCGGATCTAATTTTCTTTATCTCCGAAATATCCGTTCAAGTGTTGGAATTAGAATCCGAGTTTGACGATGAATGTCGGATAAGAGTGCTCAGTGCAAGAGTACATATTGCTATAGCGACGAGCTTAATGCACTTCTCTTACTTCGAACTGAATTGACGAAACTTTATTTCTCGTTAAACTCGGAGAACTTTGTCTCTCTCTTGAATAGCTTTGCCCAAAATGGAATTCTGGAAGTGGTATTTAGTCACGTAAAATTTACAACGCTGTTTTTTTTTACGATGTTTCGGAAACGCCTTATTTGCGTTTGGATGAAAATGCAAAAATGCAAAAATGCAATGTGATTGAAACTGAGAAATATTGTCATTTAATTTTGAATCCATAATTTCATTTGTGGAATGCGTATCTTTCGCAGAGGAATAATAAAATGATAGGAGACTCCGTGATTGAAGGAAATTATAAAATTTTAATATGTGCGTCCAATCTAAACAGTTGAATCAGTTAAATGAATTTAGTTAAGTTGCAATTGTCATCAACGCAAGTACGCGTTAAGTGGGGCATAGACTAATCTTAGCTGGATGAGATTAGTAGCACTACTAATTAGAGGGCTTGTGCTCCAGCTCGTTAATCTCCAAGATAGTGATCTCAATGACGCCTTCTCGTGTTTCAATCACTTACCAGCCTCCGCTTTCGTGGATCGAATGTACGCTGCGGCAAAGGGAAATTAGAACTATTTAACTGAGATTCTTAAACTTTTTGTAATTTAAAACTCTTTTTCTTTGAACAATTTTTATTCGAAAAAGGAATTAAAAATAATTGGTAAAAATTCACTTGCGATAAATACAACAGAAATTATCTGTATCTATCGAAGGCAAAATAGATCTGTCTATTATCAGTCATTAATAATCATTTCGTAGCAATTAACGAATTATCAATTGAATTTTGAGTCAAATATTATTCAAGTGTTTCCTTATTTAGTTTATGAATAAAATGTGAGATAAGTACGACTGCAAATAAGACTCGATAAATCAGTTATACGAAGTTGCATTTAAATTATAATTATTCTATTTATTATTTTTAACTTTAGTCACATTTCCAAAGAAAATGTACAACAATCTTCAAACTATACAAAATCTCACGAGAATATTTGAAATATTTCGTAGATTGAAGTTGCAGGAAATTGCAGGATTTGGAATAGATGGTTATTAATGGTGACACTAGAGAATACCAATTGGCATATATATAAACATAATTTATTTTAAATAAACCGCTAACATAAGACCATCCTTTTAAATTTTATAATGTAATACTTTTGTGACAAGATCAGAACAGTATGTACTCGGACAAAAATACATAATCCCAACATTGTACTCGCAATACAATATCGTCTGTTGTACTTTAAAAATTTTATTGTGACAATCTTCTCGTCGTGTTAGAATGAACTTGACTGTATATAAATATAATGTACATGCGCTGTTCTTTCTATGATCGAGCGAGAATCTTGTCGTAGCACACGCTAAGTATACCATCAGTTTGTAAGCAGAGCTCGACACACGTGTTACGCTACGACAGGATCGGTGAAGCATCAGTTTTATTTAATCTGATAAATCCCTTTTTATGCGTGTGTCAGTCTTTCATTTAAATCTATGTGTATAAATGATCTTCTACGTTTCAGACATAAATGTTGTGTACATGTCGTGTATTAAAAAAAAAAGTATTAAGTTGCCATACAGGAGGTCAGAGCAAAACTACAAATATATGTATTGAGAGATATATTATATGTACACAAAAAGAATTCATTTAATTCTAATATTATATCTTACTAATAAGGAAGAAGTAATCCTTTTATATTATTTCACACGGTCCGTTAGAAACACAGCTAGTTTTAGCCATCCTCTTTTTAAATCGTTCTTTTGCATGACATGTAAAAAAAAGTACATTGCCTGCCCTTACTTCGTGTACGATGATTCTTTGCCCCCTGCCGTGTCGTTTTATAGAAAAAAAATTAAAATAATCTACTATTATAAGTATTCGCGATACACGATGCGTGTGCGCACCGTTTTGTGAGTTGAAAAAAAAGCAAGCGCGTATGTGTATATACAAAAACAAAATTAACAAAATATTATTGGAACGGTATCTGTAAAATTTCATGCTACTCGAGTCCCCTTTTTCCGAATGTTGGCCGATGTTGATGTATATTGAGTGGAATGATTGGACGAGTTGTTGTAATATTGTGATTGTAAACGGAAACCGCGGCTCGCGATACCTGAAAAAGGAAAAGGAACGTATTAATCTTTTAATAATTCATACTGCGTATGTTTATATAACACAAATTAATTTAGGTTACTAGTAAAGTGTAATAAGTTAAATATTACTTACAAAAGCACATAGCAAGTGGAACATGGATTCGAAATAGAAGTGGAAATGATGGTTGAGATAAAAATTAATAAAGCGACGTGTGAAATAATTTGTGATACACATGCAAAATGTAAGATATTTATGTGAGAATATGTAAGCACATTACAAATTGTGAATCAAGGATTACGAGGAAAATACGGTAGCTGTGGTTCTGTTTGGAAACTCAAGATTGTATTCATACATAAATAAACTGCTCGTAGACTTTTAAAAATTAAAATGCATATTTCACTTTTTGTAAACCATTTTATTTGAAATCATGATTTTATAGATATTTGTCAAGAATACATAATTGAAAAAAAATGTGAATTTTTTTTTTCTAATACAAAATTTTCGCACACCAAAGTCTTTGGGTGATTTAGTGCGGAGGTGGTGGAAGTAAGAGCATTAGGAGATTGGACAGTGACTCACCGGCAGTTACAATGCGAATTGCATTGCGGTCATAAATAAGGAGGGTTCCTTTATTAATAGGGTTGGTGCCTCTGGTTCTGACGACCACCCCTTTGCTTGCCACCGTAGCCTGAACCTCCTGGAACATACCCACATAGCGCATTGTTAGTCTAATCCTTAGCTGCATACATCACTCGTTTAACTTTACAAGAGACTAGGCGCATAAACGTATGTGTATAGAAAAACTGTACACAAGACTAGAAAAAAAAAAGAAAATGTCAAGTCGCACGAATGCTTATTTATATAAAAAGTAACAGAGATAAATATAGATGTAAGAAAGCTACAGTGTATCTATGTAGTAGAGGCTACAGGCTAAGGTAGTAAGCTGCAGGCTGTACTTATACTTTCCCCATCGTCCATATTTCTAGAGCTAGATATAGAATAACATTCCATTGGATGCGATTGTTAGACAGTTCTATTCCATTTATGAAAAAAAAGAAAAAAAAACTGTAAAATCGCTGGCGTCTCGCATGTAAAAGGAGAAGTTTCTAGGGATACCCAAAGTTAGTCAAAATTGATATCAATAACAGATCATATTACGATGACAGTGACAATATTACGCTCTTAATTACAGTTCACTGTCATCGGATGTTATAAAAATCAGTTGAAATTTAAACGGCAAAAATAGATGATCGCAGATAATAATTTATAGCATCATAACTAATAAAACTATACAGTATATTACAATTCGTTTCCAAATTATACATTAGACATAATTCGGTTGTGTCTTCCTTGACGCATTTTGCAACCGATATAAATTATTATTTCCTGAGAACCTCTCCCGTATTTACATTCATTCAATCCTTTCACACACATACGCGTTAACATACACATTATCCATTTGTGAAACAAACAGTATAAAAGACAGAAAAGATATTTCTGAGTGAGGGATAGAGAATAGATATGAAAAGAGAGACTGCCTCTCTGGTTTTCTCGAGTAACAGGCGAGGAAGTGACGGTTAGATGAATGCAGTTAATGTATGAGAAAATGTGTGTGTGTAGGCGATAATTCAACATACGCCATTTAAAATGTATAACGATACGGATGGGGGATTTATATTAAATATAAAGGAAAGGACGCTACAATGCGTACCTTTACCGCGTGCGCCACCGCGCCCGCCACTGTATCCACCGTCGTAATTACCACCTCCGTATCCATATCCGTCTGCGTTTCATGGAACACACGGTACAAAGAGACAATAAGAGTCGATGCATACTGATTGTTCATTTCCTTTTACATTAAAAGAAAAAATCTATGTACATGGCGTTCGAAATAAAAAAAAATATATATATACATTCAATGAAGATTATTTTGTATAATACCAATGATTATATGTCCAATAATTATTTTTTCAAAGAGAGATATGTCCATGAAACATGTTCTGAAAACAATTTGATTGTACTGTAATGCAGTATATAATATTCTAAACTTCTAAAGCAAAAGACAGTTACATCTTTCAAAGAGTTTCTTTGATTTCTGATAAGTGTAGAAGTTGGCGGTTTCAACATTGTAACACACGTTATTTCAAACCATTTGTATGAATTTAGAAATGGCATGCGCGTAAATTACGGTTTACATAAAAGAAAAAATCTATCATGCTGAAAATGTCTTGGCATTGTATTAGAAAAAATATGCGTATAGTTAGAATTAAAATGTATATAGCATCTCGACAAAACTAGTGTAATCTCCCTTAAAAGTGAAAAAAAATCAAGGAAAATCATTTTTTTTATCTACATATAGCAAATTATAGTTTTGAAAATTCACGGTTAGATAAAAAAAACAGAAGTTATAAAGAAATTGTTTCACACTCGTATTTTTATCCAATATAACTTGATTAAAAAAAAAAACATGCCACAAGATAATCTCGAAAATCATACGAGATACCAAAAGTCATTGCCATTCCCATGTCACTGCCGCAAAGGCATGTGTTTGGCCTTCGCGATTTCATTGCGGATGAGATGATCGTTGAAATATGAAAAAAAAAAACGTGAAACATCATGCGTGAGGAATGTGACGGGATCAACAGCAGGATCGAAGGACACAATCTTATAATATACGATGTCTTGTATAGCATTGCTTTAACCCATTAATTGCCAATTTTTCGTTTTAGTTAATGACTGATTATTTATATGTAAAAAAAAATTTTTGATCCACAAATAAAAACTGGCGCTTAATGAGTTAACATTTTCTGCTTTTGCAGTTATATATAAATATACATATGTATGTGTGCGTGCGTGTGTATGTAAAATATTTATACACATATAAATGTTAACAGTGAAGTACGTGATTTTTCTTGAGTTCATGGAATTTACAAAATAATATTAAAGAAACATAAAAGAGGAACAAACGAAAAAGATACCAATTCGTATCAATCAATAAACAAATGAAATTATTTCAAAAATTGTCTTTTACGATAATAAAATAATTGTAATCTTACCAAAATTTTATTTAAAAAAAGCACTTACACCGATTAATTACCGATTAATATGTGTGATAATATCTCGAGAAATATTGTAAAATGTAACATAAACATATTTTTTTTGTCACACCTTCACTGTTACCATTATATTTTTTCTTATATTAATTTTGTTAAGTGCATATTTACATATATAAAAAATTTAAATATCAGTAGAGCATTAAAGAATATAACTAAGCAAATGATTTGATAGGTTAACTAATCAGTTAACTAATTATAGTGAAATAAATAGCCAATACTTTGAAAGTAGATCTAAAGTAGAAAATAATTCGGATTATGTTCATTTCGCATATAACTTTACAAGTTCCGGTAATCGAATTTGTTAATGGATCACGTAATATGTCGAAAGAACATAATGCGAATATTTCCACGGGTCACTGGCTTACGTTGATCACATAGGAACTATATATCAATGATAAAGTTAATGAAATGATTATTAGTATCATTTTATAAAGTTTATAAAATTAAGATTTATTCATTAAGTGAAATATTTTCAAAATTTAATTTGGATAGGTCAGAATTCTTATTGATCTGCTTATAAACCAGCACCTCGTATTTCTATTTAAGCTTAATATCATACTAAAACTTAATACCCAGTATAATACATACATAAAATTTCTGATCATTCCATTTTCTGCACTATCAAGTAACACATATTAATGAAGCAGACAACATAAACTGACATTTTAATTGCTTGCTCAATTAAATCAAAAAGTTAGTATACGCAAAAAAGATGATTAAAAAAAAAAAGATAAATGAAGGGAAGTTAAGCAGCTTGGATGCACGATAGAGGAATTAAATCAGTCATAATATGCATATATTTTCCTCAGGTGTCTATAAGATCTGTCATGATCGTCTGCCGAATACACTGGGACGGTAACAACGTATAATTTTGCCGTTGATTATCACTTGTCGTTTCTTTTTTCGTAAAAAAAAGCAAGACACACGAGAAAAAAAAACGGAACAAATGTCGACAGTAATCGGCGTCATAGCCGATTCTGTCGTCGTTTTTTAGTAATAATCATCAGTGATGAAATTACCGTATCCACTGTAGTCGTAGCCGCCGTAACCTCCGTACCCACCCCCACCGTAATAATCGTATCCGTATCCATCGTAGCCACCGCCGTATCCGCCCTGGCCGTAGCCACCGCCGTATCCGCCGCCGTAGCCACTCTGGCCCCATCCGCCCTGGCCGAATCCTCGGCCTCGGCCACCCCTGGCGCCACGTCCGCCACGGCCGCCGGGTCCACCGCGCATACCGATCATTCCGTCGGGCTTGGGTGTTGCTTTCTTCACGTCAACCTTTAATATTTTAAATACAACTGTCGCTATTAAATTCGTAATGGGATCTAAATTAAAATATTGAATCTTATTTGACGATTGCTTTCGTCGATCTGCTTTTTATCGCCTTGGACAAAAATAAAACGCGAAATCGTACACATATTTTAGAGACAATGACTTAAAATACTAGAAAGAGGGATTTTATAAACAAGTATCTAATATTTTATTGAAACTTTGTAATGCTCAGTTTGATGAGCGATCGATTACTCACCTCTTTACCATTTATCGTTTGTTTCGAGGTCTTCAACAGCTCATTAACCACCTGCTCAGATTCGAAAGTGATGAAACAGAATCCTTTCCTTTGATTTTTGGTTTTATCAAACGGCATCTCCATCTCGACGATCTGAAAGATTTTTTTAATTATTTCACATTTTAATAAGAATGCTTATTTGAGGGTATTCAAGCTAAAAATATTATAAAAATTCGTAAAAATATCTCAGAAAAAAAATTTTTCGTCACATGGACTCAGTAGCAGAACTGACTTAAGAGTATCATCATTCTATATATGTAAAAGATAAAGTAATATTATTAAAATTAGTTATAAAAAAATGATAAAATACTTACGGTTCCGAATTGTGAGAAGAAATTCTTAATCTCGTCGTCGGAAAGTTCCGTCGAAAGTCCGCCGACAAATATTTTCCCGTGTCTGGCTTTCGCCTTTTTAGGATCAACCTTTTTGTTGTTGATGACATGATCACCAGCGGACATGATCTGGAAAAATTAAATTTTTTCTTTCAATTATTTGACGAAGTGGTAACTTGTTAAAAAAATGCAATAAAATCTTATTTGCAAAATAATCTCAGAAAAGAAATTTGTCGTCACACGCGTTCAGTAGCAGAACTGACTTTTAAGTATCATCATTAAAGTGTGTAAAAAAATAAACAGTAATACTGATTAAACATGATCGTAATAAAGATTGTACTATTTTTCTGTTGCGATAGAATACAAGATTGATACCTTGTCGAGAGATTCGGCCTTAGCAAAGACGATGAAAGCGAATCCTCTCGATCGTCCTGTATTTGGATCTGTCTTGACATTGATGCTCTCAATGTCACCATATGCGCTGAAATGTTCGCGCAATTCCTCTAAAAATGACAAAATAATCTTCGTGAGATTTCTTTAAAAATTATAATATAAATCGTATTAAAAGATTATTTAAGTCATAATTTAAGCTCAGTAAAAAGTTCTTTTCACATGACAATTATGTGTCATCCAAAGGTGTCCTAAGAAAAATACATCATCGCTGATTTCTCATTTTGTATTTCGTTTTGTTACTTGAGTAAAATTTTGCAGAAATATATCGTATGATTTCGAAAATAGTTACTCACTGTCTGTCGTTTCCCAGCTTAAGCCGCCGACGAATAATTTCCTGCGAAGAAAAAGGAAAACAGAAAATTAAAACTAATGGAAGCGAACGAAAGGCGTATTCGTCTGGGATATTTAGTCATTATTACGAAACCGAACGTTCTTCCTAGCAAGAAATTTACGGTTTAACTAATCTAAATAGGATCGCTATTCGGGCTTGCGATGTTGGCAAATTCTCAAATCTCTGCAACTGCGCGCAAAAAAGTTATCTGCAATGAAAACGGTAGGAGATGGCAATGTATTTGGGCCTCTTTCGCAAGTGACTGTTACAAGTAATTAGGAATAATCATAATGGTTTTATTTACTTGATTACTTGAGCACCAAGTATACCTCTCATCGTCTTGTATCGTCACGCGCAATTTTTCTTTCACTCTTAACACCGACATGCTAAACAAAAATTAATAAGAAGAAAAATAGAATGAAGTTTGAAAATACCTATCGTTCAGAGAATCCTGGTTAGCCCCGGCCGACCTGTAAATCAACGGAACGAATTTATATCACTAGATGAATCTCTCGAACGTGTTAATTTAATATAAAAAAAGATTAAGATCGAAGCGAAAATTTGACTTGATAAAAACGAAAAAGTTCCATTTTTCATTTAAAAAGAAAAAAAATGAAAAGAAATGTCGACTAAACCCCTGGAAAGACTATAATCAGTGTTAAGGTATGAAAAAAATTGAATGCAGACGATGTGCAAGAAAAACGTAACAGACCTGTAGTGTCATTCGCAAAAGGGGCACTGGATCGACCATCGAAAAGATTTATATAGGCGGGGAGTTTTTTTTATTCAATTAAATATTCAATCGCACATATTTTAAGGCTATATATAATTATATATAATATCTACGGTAAACAAACGCATAAGTTTAATCTACAGCTAATTAGATCGCCCATCGTTGAAATTTAGAAAAGTCTTCTTACAACGATAAACATAATAATTACAAATGCAAAGCAATTACAAGTTGTGTGTATATAGAATAATACCATTCCTAGAATAAATGAGAATTGATAACGGTAGCTTACGATATAATGCATCTGTCCTTTGTATAAAGTTACGAGAATCAACCTTGAGAAGAACAGCTTTTCACACTGTAGAAACCTTGATTTGAATGTTCAATTATTAAAAAAAAAAATCGAAAAGAAAACTTGGAAAAAAAGTATATAAATATGTAAAAATCAATGCATCGAGAGAACAAGGTACTATTCATCGACGTTTGCGTGAGAACCCGAGCAATAGTTAGACAACTCCAGTTGAGATATCACAGCTGCTCCTAAGGGAAACAAGAACTTTAATTTTTCCAAGTGGTACTCTGACTGCAGATTGGCCCAAAGAATATGGCATATGCTAGGATAGACTGCAACTCTATATCGAAAAGCTAAAAAGGATTGTTTTCATTACGATTTAAATGACAGACGACTCTTGATACTTTCGATCGACATATCTATGTGCATATATAATATGGATGGGATATTTATATTTTATATTTATATGTACGTGTTTTTTTTTTTATATACGTTTGTCTCTTTCTCATTCTCTCTCTGTCTCTTTCTTTCTAACGCTCATAGACAAATTGCGATGCAATGGCAAGAATGGTTTCAACTTCTGAGCTATATTTTTCATTCTTTTTCTGAGCTGCAAGCTCGGTTTTTGGATCTGGCTGACTCTGTTTTTTTTTTTATGTCAACACGATAATTGATTTACTTATTATATTCAATTTTTATTTTTTATTTATGGCTGGTGATAAATACCGTTGGCACCAGTCACTCGCCGGTAATCAGTTGCTGGTCGGGTGACGTTTTCCACCTGCGAGCCGCCCGCCATGTGAATACCGTCGTTGATCACCTGTAGATCAAGCCACATAAACTGGGGTTAATGGCGTTCCGACCTACTGGACGTTTTCGCATTGTCCCTATGATTTTTTTTTGTGCTTTGGTCACGCCCAAACAGCATTCGGATCGGAAATTACTCTACGCGTGACCCAGCTGAGACAAGTGTGTGTCTGTGCGAGACTTTATTCGATTTCTGACGAAATTAATTCGAGAGTTCCAGTGCTTGTGTCATTGACAGAACGTGACGGACTTGAACTTGACGTAGAGAGACTTCTCGCAATAATTCGGACTCGGAAATCACTGCAATAAGGTTTTTTTTTCTCGGTTCACGTCGATCCCATGTAAGTGTACAGTACTTTGTCAATCGTGAGTCAATTGACCGTTTACCAGAATACAGCTGCAACGAACGGTACGAGGAAGAACTCGGCTGGCCAAAAAATGTACTCGAAAGTGTTTAGGCTCTATAAAAACATTATACGAGATTATATTATTTGCTATGTGACGTTTGCGTACGCAAAAACTGATCGACTGCAGAACTCACAATTACTCATTTATCGATTAGAAAACTATAATTCTATAATTAACTAGACAGGGATAGAAACAAGGAGTTTTAATACACAAAATTACGAAAAATTTCAAAAAACAGATAAATGTGATTACCTCGCAACAACAGCACATATAAAAAGTTACAAACTATAGCGCTCTTACTCGCCGTTTACATAGTGGTGTCTTAAATTATACTCTTGCGTAATATAGCATGCAATATCTCATTCAAATCTTCGATTATTATATTATTGTATATGTTAGGAGACAGAGTGGAGCGCCGGCGTTTGGCTCGTTTTACTTCCGTTACTTCATACATGAAACTCGTGTCCCTTGAACATATTTTTAGCTACTTAGAATAGGAGGAGGTGTATCTTCAAATTCATGCTCAATAACAATATTGCGAAAATGTTTAATGTCTATATGTATGTAGTCAGGCAGCAAGATTAATTATATTTATATTTTATTGTATTTTATCGGAATAATTATACATTTCAATTTATATATAAACGTAGAATTTGAAGATTACGTCCGCGTCCTGAGAATTTTATATCCTGAAAAATTCCATGTATCTTTGAAAGTGAAATAATTTAATGCTTACCCTTCTTTTTTGCAAAAAAGATATCCTAAATTACCGTAAAAAATTCGCAAAAATCCAAGGCTGTAGGAATACAAAAAGCAAATAAAAATTCGAAAAAAAATTGAGAGAAATAAATGCAAAATCTCCGATATAAAGAGCACTGCGACAGAAAAAAAAATAAAGACCGAGGCGACGAACGCTAATTATAATTATAATTACAAAATATTTACACAGATAGATGTATTCTACATTCTCTCAACGACCGGACGAAAAAACGTGTCTGGTCAAATTCATCCAGCTCAAGATCCCGTTACGCTGAAAAAAAGGAATGGAGGGGAGGAAAAGAGAGCAGCGCGAGACAATGGGAGACGGCAGACACGAGAGCCTTTACGGTCCACCGACATTTTGCAAGGCTAAGCGCGTCGCAATAATGTAAAGCGGTGGGGGGGGGGGACACTTTTTTTCGCGCAATGCCCTTTGCCTGATACTTCCTTTTTTTTTTTATTCCTTTAATACATTTATGTCATTTATTCATCTACTGCATTACGCCGCAAGTAACTCCTACTTGCGCGCCCACAAGGGACAAAGCTTCCACGTGCTCTTGTAACGGAAGCGGCGAGCGCGCCTGGGGCAGCAAAGCGCGCGCGAATCCGCTTGGACGCTACATGCCGTTCGCGATATGTACTCCACGACGCTCGCCGGTAACGCCGGTTCGTCAATACGCGTCCCGTCATTTTTATCCGCCCTTCCTTCCCCCGGGCCCTTCCTTCATTCACCCGATGCGCCTCGGGCGCGCCCTTTCCGGAACCGCTGCCGGCGCCTCCACTCGTCCTCTTTTACACCGTCCGCCATTGTTACCGCCCGGCTTCGGGATCTCGTCAATGGGACAATATAAATCCTAATCGCGGAATCGAGAATCGCCGAGAAAGACGGACGTTCGCGTGCGCGGCGCGCCACGGAGAAGCGACGAGGCCGCGCCGTCGAAACGTAGGCGTTCGTCGTCACGTCGATGCGAACGGATTACGTTTCCGCGGCGTCACACCGCACGCCGCTTCGCCATTTTGTGAGACGCGTGCCCGTGCTCGCGCGCGCGCGCGCGGCTTCGTCGTCGCCGCTCCGCGAAGTATTCGCCGATTCGCGCGATTTGCCGGGGGGGGGCTTCTTTTCTTTTGCAACGCGCCTGCTGAAGCACGAAGCGATCGCGCGACCGGGACAATCGACGAGCTGCAGGGGGAGGGCAAGGGGAGGAAGTTACCTGTCTTCCTGCGACTCCTGATTGTTCTCCATGGCGTTGTTCTCGCCGTTATTCTCGGCCTCGCCGTTCTGCTCGGCGAAGTTCTGCTCCGCGATGTCGTCGCTGAAATCTTTGCTCTCCTGATCGGTCATCGCGCTCCGCTTTATCTGTTTTTACGACGCTCTCTATTCGCGTGGATTATACGGCGCGATTATACGCGACACACCACCGGTTATACCACAGCGAGCACAAAGCCAAAGTTAAAGTGATCGCCGATCACCCGAAACACAGCCGTACCGTCCGACCGCCGAATGGAGAAGGAAGTGGCGGCGTCGTGCGCAGCGCAGCCCGGAGGTCCTCTCCCGGCTCGGCGATTTACCGCGCGAGGCATCTCGGGACGTGTGACTTCTCCGCCGACCAATCGCGCACGGTCACTCAGGCTCGTTCGACGTGCCCGCGGCACCTCGCGCGTTTCGATCGCCAGGTGTATCCCTCGTTGCAGCGAAACGCGATCCAACACGATCGTGATATGTCACATGCTAATCCTACGGCTAGACATAGAACGATATTTTGAAAGTTCGGTTCAAATTCTTCGATCGTACCCCGCGTGAATGAGAATTTTAGTGTTTTCATTCAGCGTACTCGCTGAATGAGTTCATTCATGAACGTATTAAACAACTAGAATGTCTCTAATGTCAACGACCACGAGAACTTGTCCGATTCGAGCTCACAGCTTTTGTTCTGGCCATTAAACTTCATTGTTGAATCGTTTGTTGCAAAACTGGAAATACAATAGACATCAAACGATTAAAGAATAATTTACTCGTACGTAGCTTTTAGATCCAATTGTCTTAATATTTATTCCAAAATATTTTTTAAAAATACGTTGTGTACATTAAAATTCTTAAAAGTTTGAGATTTAATTAATAGAATTTTTTTATCTTAAGTTTTTTTTCCAAAGATTCGTTAATTTCTTTCTAATTTATAGTAGGATGTACCTTTTATTTAAGCTCAAGAATTTCCAATTTGTCTCTGAAAAGTGATTTGCCAATAGCAAAATCTGTATAATTGACTGCGATACAGTAGAAACATTTTGAAATAAAAAAAAGTTCCGTTATTTCTGTTAAAAAAAGTCCTATAACAGCAAATGGTTAAATGGAGCTAAAATAAGTCTAGTTCTTACGTTCCTGATTGCGTTCGGATCGATGGCTAGAGAATGCGTCATCGGTACGAAGGGGCGGAGGGACGGAAGGAAGGGATGGAAGAGAAGAGGCCGAAGAGACGAGACGGATTTAGCGGCACACACGCATCGAAAATTTCGGTCATGCGACACTAGCGGGAGGGAGAGGTTAGCCAATGAGATCGCCGAGGAACGCTATTCTCGGCCGTCGACCAATGGGAGACAGCCAAGGGTCCCGCTCAATTTCGCTGTAATTCTCCCACGCGGCCGAAATTTCATAAAATAACGCCTGAATGCGAGACAGGTGGATTTCATCGTAATACGAGATCGACCGGCACGATCGGTGAAACGAAACCGAGCGGCATGGAATTTTCCATTCCATCGATGATGCAGGCAGCGCAGTAAAAACGCGTCTTTCTCTCGCTATGGTCGCCCTGGCGCTGGGCTTGGCGCGGACAGTGCCATCTGTAGTAAGTACGCGACACTCGATGTCACACCGAAAAGCGCATACGGCATATGCGGTGCGCGTCTTTATCTCACTTTGGCCGAGGATGTACGAGGATAAGCGCGATGATTGTCCGCGGGTGAGATCTTTATAAGAAAAAATTGATGGATACTTTTAAAATAGCGTTTCCTTATTCGGCAATAGCATTCTTTATTTCGTTCCGCTATTGGATAAGGTTTAAGCAAAAAAATAGAGCTTAATATAAGTTAAATAATATTGATGATAAGTAAATATTAACTAGAATTAATTAAATATAAACTTTAATATTGTGTGGAAAGAAGATACGCCACAAAATTCCTTCAGACTACCCTATGCATACTCCTTCAGCGCGATCGATTTTTGTCTCGATATATTAAATTGAACTTTTGCGATTTCGTCGATCTCGTCGCGTCGCGTAAAATTTTCGTGAGAAACCCGCGGAGGGCCGAATCGTACAAATATGGGACGGGAACAGAAGGTAAAAGCGAATATGCCTCTCCCATCGTTTTCCCCGCATTATTTTCGATGATAGGAAATCGCGAAAGTTTTCCCGAGCACGTTGATTCCAAAGTATTCTGATAGAAAAAACGATTTTAGGTTCTGACGCTGAACGATGTCTGGCGTACTTGCAACAAGATACGAGCCGCCGTGTTTCGCGTCGGGCTCAATCTTTGGGAATACTACAAGTCCCTGGATCCCGACAAACGTTGTTTAATATCAGGTATAAATATCGGACATTGGCACCGTGACGAGAGCGATCGTTTCTAAAGTTGGTTGTCGAGTGGGAGCGATTATTTCTGGGCGCTCGATATAATGGAAGGATGCCGAGATATAATGCGTAAAATTACTACTATTCGAATTTCTGTTATAGTTCTATTATTTCTTTTTTCACGTATTAATTGTCTCTTCACATTAAAGCTGTACAGAATTCGATATTAGTGGATATAGTGGATAACTTTTTTAATAACAAGAGTGGAATTGATTTTATTTTTTAGCTATAGCTAAAAATAATATATAGCCATAACTAAAAACTGCATATAACTATATGTGTTAGTCATGTATACATTTTTTATGGTTAGATAAATCTTAAATGGTTTTTAAGATTTTTAAAATAAAGTTGCAAGTGAATATTTGTGTGCAGAAAGCAATTGATGCGAGGAATGTAAATATTCACATGTATACATCTTATGATTTAAAGAAATAAATTTTAATATAAAATTTTTTATTTCAAATACGCAGAACTTTAAACTGTACAAGTATTCAAAGTACTTAATTATATTAACTATTTTTCGCGATGTATACATACTTCAATTGATTCAAATATTGATGATTTGTTATTAGAATTTAAAATCTATTTTAAAACCAAACGTATCTAAAATATTTGTGATTACATTACTTGAAATACATGTGTATATAATAAATTATTAAATTTACAGAGTCCAAATTTATCTCCGTTTTGGCTGGACCATTAAAAGGCGTGATTGGCTTATCGGATAAAGAGATCTGCGATCTGACGGATTATTTTCGAATTCAGGACGGTCGGATTCTTTATTCGCAATTTTGCGAACTTATTCACGATAGCGGTACGAACGATTATTTTTATGTATGTATTTTTAGAAAATTCTCGATAATTATCATTTCCCTGGTTTACGCGGCAAATGTCAAAATCTTATCTCACGATCAAAGCAAAACACTGAATCATCTGCTTAAGCGAGTGTCCAAGGTTAATTACGAGCATTAACAAAAAAAAACTAAAAAAGAACAGATGGCGGTCAACGTTATATGTAATATACCTGCATGTATAATGTTAGAAGTCATATATTATAACTGACGAAAGAAAAATGTATTTTTTTAGCAAGTGTTTTTTTATTTTAAAATGAACAAACGTATATTACAAATAAATTAACTGTTCATTTAAAAATAATTTATTTTATATAATCTTTATATAAATTAATTTTTAATATTGTAATATTTGTTTTAATTTATCGTGGCGCAACCGAGTTTTGCCATTGAAATGAACAATTCAACAAGATTTAATGAACAAAATATTGATATTTAATTTTATAAAAATGCATTTTATGCGTTTTATCAATTGAAACATATTTATCTCTTACATGTGCTTAATATAAAGTGATTCGATGAATTGAACGGGATGTATAGAATACAGATTTACGAAATAATTTTTATGATATTTTTCATATAGTTCCTGATTTTGGAAAAAACAAAATTCTGATGACTGGTTTAGAATGGGATGATCCGCTGCATGTAAATGTTTTGAGCGGCACGGAAACGCGAAAATTAAATTTAATACTTACTCAAATCGCTGTGTTGGTGGGCAAAAGAAAAATTATTTCTCGGCCATACTTTCAAGATTACGAGCTGGTACATTTGGCATGATTCATTCTTGTATCATTACTGTTTGCGACGTTATCACATCTACAATTTATTCTTCGATTTATGTGTTCTTGATAAGCATAATAATTACGTCAATCCGGATAAATTAATAATTTTTCTTGTAATCACGCCTCAGAAAGCATCATTTATTTTATTCCATTATTTAAGATATTTTCTTTTGAGAAAAGGATCATTTTAATTTAAAATATTAAAAAAACAAAAATAATTGAATTATAAAAAATAAATTTTTCTATTGGCTTAACAAATAAAAATAATAATGATAGGGAAGTTTAATAATTTTTTATTCATTCTAAGATGTTTCGTAGATCGCGAAGAATGTCGGCACAGTTACTCTCGCCCATTTCGGTCGGATTTTAAAATTTCTGGGCATCGTCCTTGGCGCTGAGGAGTTTCGCCTGCTCGTAAAAAGATTTGCCAAAAATGGTTATACTGTGAATTATGTAGCGTTTTTGAAAACTATCGATGACGTCCAACGCTATTTAGACGAACATGGAATGGTAGATCTTAGCGGGGTATTGTCATTCTTAGAATCTCTTGTTTCGCTTCTTTATATATACATTATATATTAAAAAAATAGGAACATAGTGCTTTCTAAAACGTATAATGTTTTCACTTTCTCTGCTATATTTTCGCATGCAGGAATTGCTCGATCAATTTCCGGGTCGAATTACGGCCGAGCTGCCGAAACTCCCTCGACTGGAAATCGGTAAGGTCACACCCAGTCAAGTGTTCGGTAAGCAAACGATATTCCATCCGGTGATGGAACGGACGAGAGAGACGATGCCCACCCTGGAAGTTGTGAAACGCATCCAGAGGCACATTCTCGAGCATCGCATACGGATCCACGAGTTCTTCAAGGTTGAAACGATCCAATTACGTTGCACGTATATAATTAGCGTTATCTTTGCTTTACGTATACTGAAATCTCGTAAGCGCGTGGATTAATCAACGCGCTATCGCGCGCGACGCTGGAGCTTGTCGTTATCGCGCCCTCCTGTGTTATCGCACGTGCGCGATCTTGACGGCTTAATCCGTCGACTTAAAAACTGTCGATTAAACGATTTGGGCCGCCGTATAGGGTTTCGAATATCTGAATGCCGGTCGAGTGACCATCCCGCAGTTTCGAAGAGCGCTGGACGCGCTTCAGATATCGTCATTGGGCCGTCTGTGGCTGGTCGAACCGGAAGTTGATGCCCTGATCGAGCTGTACAAGGATCCGGATGATCCCGAGTGCGTGTGTTGGCGCACGTTCGAAGACGATATAGATCAGGGTGCAATATCATAATAAATGTGAAGTTTTCAATAGTCACATCTTGAGAGTAAACTCTTTTTCTACTTTAATTATAAAATCTTTCTCTTCAAAGATGTAAAACATTTTTTCGAAATTTATTAAACTCTTTATAATATTCGGATTATTCATATAAAAAATAATAGAATTAAAAGACAAACAAAAAGGAATTTTTATTGTGCTACGGAGGTATTCTTATTTATACTAGCGTTTTCATATTTTATTACTTTGATGGATTAATATGATCTCTTCATTTAGTTTTCACAGTGAAGGAACTTGACAAATTGCCAAGTCTAAAAGTGGAATCGCCGCCTCAAGAAATAGCTGAATTACCGCGAAGGGGTATGTCAAATTGGCAGTGCCAGCCGAAGAGTATGAGAGACCTTTGTGAAGATATTTTACAGAGGGTAAGGCGGCGAGTCGAAGAGAGAAGAATTCTCTTGAAGCAATTTTTCAAGGACTACGACAAGTATATTTTTCTTTAAATAATTATTAATTGAATGACTTATTTTAATATGGTATAAAAAAAATTTTATAATAATGAACTTTTTATATACCTAGTATCTGAATTGTAATTAAATAAAATTAAGAAATTTTTATTATAACTGACACGTAATAATTTATTTAATACAGTCATATATATACTTTTGGGAAATAAATATTAAAGCGTTATTTGAAATTAAAATTGCTTGGAAAATTACCGTTGAATGTTTAACAGTTTAATAATTAATTCAAAAATTATTAGTATCTTTTCGATACCATTAATTAAAATATACCCATTAATGGATATATTTTAATTAAAAACACATTTTATTCAAATGGTGAATTAAAACAGCATATTTTAATCGCAAAACTGTTAAACATTCAACGGTAATTTTCCAAGCAGTTTTAATTTCAGATAATGCTTTAATATTTATTTCCCAAAAGTATATATATGACTGTATTAAATAAATTATTACGTACCAGTTATAATAAAAATTTTTTAATTTTATTTAATTAATGGGTATATTTTAAATAATGGTACCGAAAAGATACTAATAATTTTTGAATTAATTAATATTTGCAGACGTAATTGCGGTCACGTGTCACGGGCTCAAGTAAGACAAGTCCTTATTACGGCGACCATACTCTTGTCTAGCGAAGAAATATTCACTCTGGAACAAAGGTACAACGACGATCTGGGCTTTAATTACACTCTCTTCCTCGAGGAGTTGGAGCCTCAACCGATCGTGGAGCCTTTGTACCATCGCATGTTGGAGGATAAGAAGAGACTTAACGCTGAAAAGCCACCGACTGAACCTCACGAGGATGAGACCAACATCGTATTGATTTTAGCTAAAATTAAAGCTAAAGTCGTGCGCGAAAGAATTAATGTAATTTACAGTTGTATTTAATTGGTTGAAAAAGGAGAGAATCGAGTCAGAATTAATTCGCTAATCTTTTTCTACGCGTAGGTTCTCGAATTTATGCGCCAATTCGATAGACACAATCATTTTGTCATTACAAGGTCTGATTTTATTAGAGGTCTAGATCAGCTTTGTTGCGGTTTAACAATTGCGGAAGTAGATGCGATTACAAGAATTTTTCAGTCGTCTCTAAAGTATGAATATATTACAGTAATTGATTACAATAATAGCCGTTAATTTAATAAAATAAAGTTACTTACAATTAGTGAAATTAATAGGAAATATGAAAATAAGTATAGGAATAGGAATAAAAATAGAAAAAAAGTAAACCCATCGAAATCCTAAACAAATTTTATTTTCCAAACTATTATTTATTTTCTTTATGCAAAAATTATTTAATTTTATATCGCGTCATATATTTTTTCTTTAACTTCACGTTCTTTTTGTATTTTTTTCTAAAGATCCGGCTTCATTGAATACACAAAATTCGCGGCAGTTATGGAAGAATCCGTTGCGACAGGAGGTTTGGAAAAGGCTCCGCTCGTGGTTCCCTTGCAACACGTGCCCTCCGAGGCGAGTGCAAGAACCTTCCTGAATTTTGACGAACGACAGCTGGTGGCAATCGCGATGGACAAACTGTGCCAAGTGCGGAGTCCGAACCTGGAGGAGATCTTCAAAGTGTGTACAGCTGCGATAAATTATAATGTTACGATATACACGATACTATGAAGAAACGCTATTATTATTTGTTATTCGAAACATTTTCTTTTTCTCTCTTTTCCGCGAGGAAACATTTCCGGAGCAAATTTCGCAATTGTATGTTCTTTAGGACTACGATAAGGAGAATAACGGCACAGTTTGCAAGGGGCGCTTAATCAGAACATTATCAGTCAGACGAATGCTAGAGCTTATCAATACCAATGAGTTGGACGCCGTACACAAGTGCTTCTCCGTGGAGAGAAGCGGCCGCTTGGAGTTCAACTATCGAGCCTTCCTGCGCGCTTTGCACCTGTTACAAGAGAACAAAAAGATCTCGCCCTTTTAGAAGACATGGTTGACCTGGTTGCAAATTCAAAAACTGAGAATATACCTTCTAGCTATTACACCATGTATATTACGTTAAATAGTTTAGGCCAAATTATATAATGCAGTTGTAACTAAAGGACGTTTTAAGTTCCACGTTCTTTGAGTATTTATGTGCCATGTAGAAAAAAATAAGTAGAGAGAAAAACAGTTGTCTAATTTTCTAGACAGTTTTTATATGTTAATTTTATGATTCTTACATATTTTTGATAGTATTGTAAAAAATATATCTCTTAACAAACAAAACATCTTTTTAAAAATTTTTTCATGATTATTTAACTGGCTTTTGACTGCATGATGATTTAATGCGAACTTTTTCATTGACACAAAGCTTATATATGTTTCAGATACTTAATATAAAATTAAACACACGTCTTCTATACAGTGTCTCAGAATTATTTACGAATGTTTTTCTTCGTCTTCAATTTAGACTGTCTAGCTTAAGATAGAATAGACAGAATATGAAAATATAGATGAGATATCGTTGCGGGAGCATGTTTGCCTACATAAATTATGAAACTCGTCGGACCAGCTCTTTCGAGAAGGCGAACTTCTTTTTTACTGACGTCTGTGCATCGAACTTTAATCCACGTGTAAATTTATCCGGGTTTAAAACTTGCTTCAGAGACCCAGATTGAGGAGGTATAAGAAGGAGGAACATCGCGTAGATCACGGTAATCTTGATTTTCGACGATTTGCCGTCACGTCGCGATTAAGGTGAGATCTTTTCTCTTTAATAATTTCTTTTATTAATCTGTTAATGGCTAACTTTTGTTGTGTCATTTTCTTTTTTTTTGGCAGAAATGTTATTATAAACTAATCGTTTTCCATTTAAAATTAATTTTTTCTTAAAAAAAAAGTAATAAAAGCAATTTGCAAGGCAATGACAAACTTTCAATTATGGTTTATAATAGATTAATTAATTACTAATTAAAATCTAATTTTTTAAAATATAAGCAGAGATAATGGAAATACTGAAATAATTTTTGTAATGTGTGTATATATATATGCATTTACTCGCGATTAACTTATTTAGTTATATTTATTGATATATTAGCATTTTTAAATAAAGATCCCGAAATACTAGCTATTGACTAGTTATTAAAGAAAATTAATTATTTTTTTAATTATTTAATTATAATTGTTGACTTCAATTCTGATAACATATAACGCCATCTCTCCGAAATTATATCAACCCATTATGGTAATAATGAAATAATAACTATTATTTATTAAATGCAAAAATAGAGCGTAAAGTAAATATAAAAAATTTATTATATTTAAATATATTAATATATATATAAAGTTTGTATGTTAAATATGGTATAATGTCACGTATGAGAAAGTGTTATAAACACTTTTATAACATTCTATTGAAAGATAATTTTATAAAATTCGTATCAGTCATAAATAATTAATTTCTTTAATTAAAAGCAAAAACTCAATATTTTTAATTATTTTAAAATTATTGTCATATTATTCTATCTCGAATTGCTTTCTCACTCGCTAATGGATGGCGCCACTAATACGATTCTGTTAAATTGATATAAAAAATTTCTAAAATTATTAGTTATTTTTATATGTATTTAAAATTTGTCATAAATTAATTACAATATTATTTTCAAATGAAAAGAAAGTTAAGATAGAAGCTTTCTAATGTTTGCCTTTCGTTTACATTTTAAAATTCATTATTGTTGCTTTTAACTGGCAATGGCCAGTTTCTATTTTATACAAATTACTATTTGAAATTAGAAAGAGTTTCTCAAATTTAAAATATCTACGAAGCGTACTGTGAAACGAGGAAGGTGCGCTTAGGCAAATGTCAACGGCACGCTTGCATTTAAAGTATCGGTTGCGACGTCCATTCTGAGGAAGTAGGAGCGGCTACATTTTAGATGATAGGAATTGCCGAAGCACGCGCATTAGCTTCACCGGCACGTACGACTCGCCGGCGGAGAATAATTTAGGCAGATAGAAAGTCTTACCTCACACTCTCGCATGCTCCTTACAATAGATTAAAATGCCAGGAGAAAATATATGATGAACGTCTCGTTGTTAGCACTCGCTACTTGCAAAAACAGAAGATCCTTTTACTCGTAGTCACATCGTCAAAGTGTTCCCTGGTTATATATTTAAAATGTTTGTTTTTTTTGCGCGATAGAAAAATGATGAGGTCCTTGGCGCTCCTTTGCCTGATCGTCGCCTCCGCCGTCGCTGGACCACCGGCTGGCGTCTCCGAGGAATCCCTGTCGCCTCAATGTCAAACCCCGAAGTGTCCGGCCACGAAAATCAAGGACGACTCGCCGGTCACTTTGCCTTACCCCCTGGACTGCTTGCAGTACATCGTCTGCGAAGAGTCTGGCCCTCGCACAGTGGCGTGTCCGGGTGATTTGGTCTTCAACAAGGTAACGCATTCGAGCATTCCTCCCGAATCATGTGAGGCTGATTAGTGAAGAAATTCGGCATTTTGTCGTGCCACAAATAAATACACAGATATGTCTAAAACTAATTTTATTCAAATTCTTAGAATGTGACAATTCTTAGAATCTTTCATTCATATGTTAAAGTGAAATTCACCGAGCTCTTCCTATTCCTAGAAGTTCCTGGAATTCGAGATAAAGCTCTAACAAAAATACGCTGCGTCGCGCCGCGATTTTAAATTGTCACGCGGAATCGCGGCAGTCATTCTTGATTTCAAGAGTGCAGCGAGAGGCAGCCATTGTGAGTGCCCTGTTAATTTTTAACTCTCTAATTTCTCAATGTGTCAACTAAGGCGGACAGTGAAATTGTAATTTCGCGAGAGAGACTGCAATCTCACGCGGGCAGAAATTCACATCGGACGATACTTTGTACATCTCATCCGGTTTATCGCGTTATGTCCGTCGAAATATTGCTTCGCAGATACATGGCGGTTCGCGCGCGCGACGCTTCGCGGATTGCTCGGAGTACTTCGCATCACGCAAAAAAGAGAAAACCCGCCCGCTGCATCGATCGCCCACTCCTACGCCCCGAAGAGCACTCTGCACGTGAGACAGGGACGATTTCATTCATCTTCGTCGGCCTCTCGTGACGCGGTGCCTCATTAGTCCCTTGTCCCCATCTATGCCGCATCATACATCATAGAATACCTTTCTCGCGTTTCTGAATCATTTCCCGTAACGACGCATCGACATGTGCGAACATTTACACATCGTTACATCGACTATCCGCAGTTTCTTAATCCGTAAAAGAGTGTTTCATATTACTTCCCTTATTCCTTTGACGTAGAATAACTGTAATTCATTCTTCAGATTATTAACAGTAATAATTATTTTCTCGAGAAAGAAATCCGCGAAAGATGATGATGGATGAAACCTCTTTTTAGATACTTATACGTTGCTACTAAGTGATCTATGAAATCAGATGATTTCATTCTCTTCATTAATTTTAAAGCACAATTCGAGTTGATTAATATTGATTTTTGTCTTGTCTAGCCGTCCGTGATTTATTATTACTGCGTGCTAAAAGTACCAACAAAATTCAAGTGTTGTAGAATAACGAGTTTTAATAAACATTTATATTTGACTCTTCATTAGAAAATGTATAGAAATACTTTCCGTTTTCGAGAGATATTATTATCAGTGCCAGACAGAAATTATTATAATGAGATTAACGATAAACAAATCACAATTTTTCACATACCTAAGATTTCTACAGAAGATCTCCAAATTATTCTTAATTAATTAATTTTAACTAACTAAAGAAGTAGATAAAAACATTAATTGAGATAATTATCAATGCCAATCATTAATCATATTTTCACATATTTAAGCAGTAATTAAAGTTAAAAATAATTTATATCTTTGTCATTAAATTACCAAGAAGATTTATTTTATTTAGAATATTCTTTTAATTCGGAATTGTTTAGGCACTATGCAAAAATCACAGAGCACCTGCGCATCTCCTATAAGTTATTCCGCCGCGTTTTAATAAAACGAACAAGAGCATGTTACGAGGCGAATGAGAGGAATCGATCTTATTCCGAAACACGACACCGCGCTTGTGATCCACAAGTGCGTCACGTGTGTGTACTCTCTAGGAATTGCGGCCTCGTATCAACCCTATGCGATAACCCGAACGGATGAAACCCTCCCGTTTTCATCGTATCCAGTTACGAGCCGCGCGGACGCACGTGCACATTGTCGTGCCCCGGGTGCTTCACCTGACACGTGGCCGGGCGAATTTCCAATTCACCGCGTTCTCCGCGGATGTCGGTGCTTGACTTCGTGGCGAGCGGAGGCCGCCGGGGTCGCCTGAACCCACTCGACTATGGTTGTCGTTTTTAATCCGTTCGCCCTCACTCGCGTGCGTAACGATCGCTCCGCGATACCGCGTCACGCTCGCGAAAGCACGAAGAGCAGCCCCGGCCGAAAACATGGAGGGACTGTTCGGTAGGAATCAGTCGAAATTTATTCCACGGTATTGTGTGAGAGACTTCGACATCGAAAATTTCCGTCACTATCGTCGGATCATTTTTTTCTTCCCCTTTCTTTTAATTTTTATGTGTAAAATTACACGCGTAAAAACAATGACAATGTGTAAAAGTGTAAATATTTACTTATATGCAACTTCTTATCTTTCAGAATACCGGCATGTGTGACACCCGGCAAAACGCGAACTGCGTACCTTGTTGGCAGGGTTGAGCATCCAGCGTTTCCACATTGTAGAAGATAATAGATATACCTCGGCTCTTGCGAAATTTTTAAAAGTATTCTAAGATTTTCTAAATGTTTTACCTCTAATAATTATAGGGCAAACCATTTATTGTTTCTACGCAAAAATAAAATGGTTATACTCATGTCTTTATATAATAACTCTATATAATTATGATATAATTACGATGCATGATTATATTCTATTTTCTATTTTCTATTTTCTATTTTCAAATGCTTAAAATATAGAATATAATATGAAGTGCTAGATAGGAGAACAGCAAGTGTAATTTCCAACTTGGCTGCAGGAATGGGTCAAACAATATCGATTATGCGAAATTCGAGAGAGACAGAGAGATAGGCAATCAGGAAATTTGCCGCTACAATCTGTCTCTTCGGTATCCCAATCTAGACTATTCTTGTAATTATTTGCATTTACTGCGCTGTCCCAGCCCAGGAGATCGACCACATTTCCCTGCGCTCTATATTGACCTATAACAAAGACTGTTATACTCAGCCATTAATAGGTTTCCTTGCTTCTCGCAGTTTTGACGTCAACATTTTTAACGCCGTGATACTTGCGCGTTATTCTTAGTACTTATGTCGGCATAATTTCGAAGTTTTAGATAAATTAGTGTCGAGGAGTACGCCCCTTAAATTGATTTCGTAATTCACGCGAGTATTAAGATTTGTACGCGAGATGCTATAGTTACTGCAGTGCTTTCGCTGAATTGCGTTATATAACAACAAGAAGTAAAGTTAGTACGATGAAGTAGTAAAAATTGAAATACTTTGTTTCAAAAAAACAATTGCTGCAATAAACAATAAATTACAAAAATAGCTCTAAAATATATTCCAGAAGTCTATTTTTAATGATATGATGAAGTGTTTATATAGTATTTTATTATAGCAATTGAATTCTTGTAATATTTTATTACGTCACATTACGTTTTATAGTTGAGAACCAAAGTACGCGCGGAGTTCATAAACTCTCTTTATTCATAGCTTTAATTAGCAGGCTACCGTTCGCGCGATATACGCGAATTTATGTACTCACATATTTGCATTATATTGCAGTTAAATTCGCTTCGCGAGGGATCGTCTTCGCCACGGAGGAATAATTAAGCGCCGACGTAACGTCCTGTTCCGTCCCGGGCGCCGTTTTGTCATTCGACACACCTGACGACACCCCCTTGAATATTTCATTTCGCTCGGAATCTGATTTTCACTCCCCCGCTGCAATGACACGGCGCTTTCTTAGGGTTTTTTCTCTCCTAAAATAATAGTCCGATCGCTTCACGGAAAAGGCGTCAGCCACCTTCGCCCACTTAATTAACCGTGGCAATCCGAGCGAGGTGGATATCTACAGCCGAGCGTTTTTCGCCTGATCGATTCGCCAGGTCGTGCGCCTTTCTTCTCTATTGATGTGTTCTCCACCCTCACCCTCACCCTCGCCCATCCCCCACCTGCCTGCCGCCCCCGCGGACTGCCGCCCACGCACACCTGGAGAATCCAAAATGTTATCGCAAACGTCAGCCCCCAGAAAACCTAAAATTTACAGCTGGTAACTCCGAAGTGATAAAACGTTGAGGAGGGACTTTTCGTCGAATCTGTTAAAATTCATGAGATCTCGATATCCGCATGTGGGAGCCATAATCGATAAAATACGTCTTGCATTGAAGAATTAACTTACCCTTTTCCCAGCAGAGGTACCTTTTTGTCATTCTTACGTTCGATAAAAGAATGAACGTTCAATGTTTAATACTTTCATACATATATGTCGTTATATATTTTATTATTTTATTATTTATAGAAGGCTCACGCGTTTGCTTTATAATAGATCATATATCCTACGACTTTTGGTTTTCAGCGGCAAGACATTATTAAATTGCTAATGCAAAAGCAAGCGAAAATAACTTAATTAGCCTTCGAAGGGTATAATTAAGTTACTTGCGCTTGCTGCAGAAATAGAACAATGTTACTTCTAATATTACAACTCTGCAGTATGGAAAGTGCCTGACATTTATATCTTAACTGCATTAAGTTATAGCGCCATTAGTGCTGTAAACAAGTTTTTGCTATTTGGGGGCTAATATGATCCAAATATGATCTTTAATTTCCAGTACTAAATAATAACTTTAACGGTAATTTTTATTTTCTTTCTTGATACTCGCAATCAAGAAGAAGCCGAATGATTCCGTGACGTTCATGTAGGGAAATTGTTAATTAAACACGCATCTGCTTGTTCGATCCTTCGCGAGGGAGCGAATCGACGAACGCACGCGACGTTCGCCAGGAAATAACGCACCTTCCAAGTCATATTAGCGCCGGCTCTCCATCTCCTGAGCGGTCTCAACTCGCTCCCGTCTCCCGGCTTTCCTCCCCCGAATTTCCGCTCATCCGTTCGCCGTGCCGAAAGGGATGAGAACGGCAGAGAGAAAGAGAAAGAGAAAGAGAGAGCCAGGGAGACGCGATCTCCGTCGCGACGCATTCGGGGGCGCAGACTCGGCGGCGGCCAGCCAAAGCCGGTAGTCCACGCCCCCCGCTTCGCCCCCGGCGGGGGCGTCGGGTTCGCGGAGGAATGGGACAGGAGGGCGCGAAGGGGGTACACGACGGCGAGGGACGGTACGGCGGTGCAATCGGCGCGGGGTGGTTTTCGGAGGGGGTTGGTGGGGCGACACGGAGCGCCACTGCGCACCCCTCTCGCACCCCCGCGCGACGCCGCGCCACGTGACGTCACGGGGGTCGAATCAATATCACACCGAGTGCCCTCCCTCCGTCGTCGTCGGTCCTCGCGCGACGGCAGACGGCCGACCGCCTCAGTACGAGGTGGCCCCCGCGACTGTACGGGACGACGACGGCACGTTCCGGCAGCGTCGTTCCGACAACAACGACGACGACGACGACGACGACGACAGTGACGACGGCGACGGCGACGGCGACGACGACGACGACGACGACGACGACGGCGACGGCAGCGACGATCACGGCCACAATTAATACGAAAACGACGATCCGGTTCGATCTCCGGTTCATCCCGCGCGCTGTCTCGCTCACCCTCTCCGGAACTGGTAACGTTCCCCGTCACGTGAAGCCGACACTGTACCTCGTCGCCGGTTTTCCTTCGGCTCGACCATTGGTACCCCACGGTCGCCGATCGCTCGTGCTGAAGGCCGGTTCCCCACAATGAGGTAGTCGCGGTCCCTCTGGGTTCCTTCGGGTCCGGGATCGGAAGATCTGTTCAGTGGGAACGCGAGGAAAGTGCCCGTAAGTAACTACCGTTTGGTGTAATAACATGGCCGAGTTTAAAAAAAAAATAGTGATTTTGAAAGAGAATTTGAAGAATTTTTATTCTTCAGGGATTAGTTGAAACTGTTGCCGATAAAAGCTCTCTTTTCCATTCTCGTGTTTTATTTCACACAGTGGTGTCATACATAATTTAACACAGTAAAAATAATAAAATAGAGTTCCGTTTTTGTCTACGTGTAATCGGTATCAGACTATTATAATCGGTGTTGAATTATTACAAGCCAGCTTTATAGAGTACAACCGCGCTAAAATAATTCATAGAGATCCACGGTCAGTCAGAGTTCGTACGTATGTATTCGTACTTGAATATAAAAGAGCGCGTGCGAATAGGGTATACTTATGGAACTATGTGTGATTATCTTATTTGCGGAATCTTGATCTTTTAATAAAATTTTTACGCGTTGACCAAAATTAATAGCTAAATTTCTTTTAAGTTGATGAATATTCGAGGATTGATTAATGCCGGGTTAATTTATTTGATTGTTCGCCTTTTAAATTAAAATGTCGATTTTTAAAAATTCAAATAGATTTGTAAGACTGGATAAATTAAATAAAAAATGTTTGAGGAATATAAAAATTAAAATAACACAAAGCTTATATTACAAGATATTTAATTTAAATGTTATCGATTTAAAATTGATCTGAATTGTATCTAAAATAGGAATTACGCGAAAAAAAGAATTTATTGAAGAAATGAAGAGCTCTGTGAAAGAGTGCAGTATATATTACACAGTTAAGCAAATTCTTCTTATGCACGTTATAAAAATTATCGATACAGGTTATTTAAAAAAAAGTTATCAATTTTTCTATTTTAAACGCAAAAGTTGGGGTAACAAGAATTTATATATTTACAAAAAGATCAATATTTTATCACAGTTTACGTGTTTATTAATAAACGATAGATCTGTAAGATCGCAAGTTTCACAGACGATTAGGAATTTAACTAGGGGTGTTAATCACCCTTACGGTCGATTTTATGTTAACCGATCTAGTGACAAACTTGGTCTTAAGTATAATCGAAACGATGATCAACCCTTCTGGTTGAAATACTCTCCTCGGCGACTCTCCTGCACATTCTTTCGCGTCAAGTGCCTCTGGACGTAGCAGTCCTCGTTCTTCTAGGTAAAATACCGTGCTGATCCTCGCGATCGGTCCCGGTGCCGTGGGCGCAGGAGATAGGCGAGGGGGGAGGGTGGAAACGAAGAAACCAGGCAGGCAGGGAAGCAGCGGGCTCAGTGAGTTGGGTGAAAATCGATGGCCATCAGCGCCCATGGGCGGCCTCGCGTTTAGGACAAGGAATAGCCCCTCCCAGAAGACCTCGCTCCGGTGGGGCGACTGCTGCCCCCCAAATCCCAACCCAGCGTCGTCGGCCGTCTGGAAGCACCGTCATCAGGAAATGCCGCCGGTGCCCGTGTGAGGCTGCCCCCCGCTGTTGCGTGATTGTACCTCGCGGGGATTTCAAAGGTAAATCTCCACCCTCTCGATATTTAGTTCTCGCGCCCCCTTTCTCGCGGGACACATCGACCCGTCATTTCGTCGACTGGAAGTTTTCTCGTGATAATTTTCGCAGTTTTAATAACACTTTAATTTTTTTCCCTTGTTTTCGTTCGAATAAGAAAAAAGAATAACAAAGAATAAAGGAAATAAAATCGAAGCCTGTGTGCCCCGCGAGACGAACTCTCAGCAGCCGTGCGCTTTACGGTTTTTGATATACAAGATTGCACAGAAATTGCGCATCTTCCGGGACGCATCTCTTTCGGTCTCTTCTCTTTTTTTCCCTTTGATTTTTATTCTTTAATGCTTTGATACTCGCAACGTTTTATCAATTATCAAAATATACTCGCA